CAAACATGGCCGCCATGGCTAAAAATAGAACATAGGGGTCAAATGCAATTTTTTGCTTATATCTCAAAAACTAAAGCTTTTAGAGCAAATCTGACATGGGGGTAAAATTGTTCAATTGGTCAAGATCTATCAGCCCTGAAATTTTCAGACAAATCGAACAACTCATTGTTGGGTTGCTGCCACTAAATTGGAAGTTTTAAGGAAATTTTGCAGTTTTTTGTTATTATCTTGAATATTGTTATAGATAGATATAAACTGTAAACAGCAATAATGTTCAGCAAAGTAAGATCTACAAAAAAGTTTATATGACCAAAATTGTCAATTGACCCCTTAAGGAGTTATTGCCCTTTAAAGACAATTTTACACAATTTGTTCATCAAGTTTGCTAACATTTAAAAATCTTCTCCTCTGAAACTACTGGGCCAAATACCTTCAAACTTCATCGAAATGTTCCTTATATTTAGGGTGTCTAGTTTATAAATTGTATCCGAAGTTTTAATCCATTGACAAACATGGCCGCCATGGCTAAAAATAGAACATAGGGGTCAAATGCAATTTTTTGCTTATATCTCAAAAACTAAAGCTTTTAGAGCAAATCTGACATGGGGTAAAATTGTTCAATTGGTCAAGATCTATATGCCCTGAAATTTTCAGACAAATCCAACAACCCATTGTTGGGTTGCTGCCACTAAATTGGTTGTTTTAAGGACATTTTGCAGTTTTTGGTTATTATCTTGAATATTATTGAAGATAAAGATAAACTGTAAACAGCAAAAACGTTCAGCAAAGTAAGATCTACAAAAAAGTTAAATGACCAAAATTGTCAATTGACCCCTTAAGGAGTTATTGCCCTTTAAGGACAATTTTACACAAGTTGTTTTATGTTTTTTAACTTTAAAAATCTTCTCAAATGAATCTAGTATAAATTTTGTATTTCATTTCCTTGTACGTCAAGAAACATAGACACTATGGCTAAAATGGAACATATGGGTAAAAAGCAAAAATAATCATTGATGAAAGATTTAAGCAAAAAAAATAACAGGTGAGCGATTCAGGCTCTTGAGAGCCTCTTGTTTTTTTCCATCTGCGCAGGACGTCAAAAAGAAAATGGCTGGAATATTGCTTTTTGTACTTGTTATTTAAAACAAAATTAAAAACACTGAAAAAAAACCCCGAAAATAACCCGTTTGAAATGGACGGCCTAAAAATGTCAAAGAAAATTTAGTGTAAACCGATACCCAGTTATATGTTGTAATTGGAAGCGATAAAACAAAAACAACTTAAAGTATGAAAAATACACCAAATGCATTTACTTTGCTAATAAAGTGTCTGTGGATCAAGCTTTTTTTTTTATCCATCTGATGAGTTAAGCCTCTTTCAACTGATTTTTATAGTTCTTTCTTATGTTGTACTGTTACACCACTGTCCCAGGTTAGGGGGAGGGTTGGGATCCTGCTAACATGTTTTACCCCACCACATTCTGAATGTATGTGTCTGTCCCAAGTCAGGAGCCTGTAATTCAGTGGTTGTTGTTTGTTTATGTGTTACATATTTGTTTTTCGTTCATTATTTTGTACATAAATTAGGCCATTAGTTTTCTTGTTTAAATTGTTTTACATTTGTCATTTTGGGGCCTTTTATAGCTGAATATGCGGTATGGGCTTTCTCATTGTTGAAGGCTCTACGGTGACCAATAGTTGTCTCATTGGCAATCATACTACATCTTCTTTTTAATATAAACAAATATATCCCTCTATATAGGGATAATTGTATCCCTCTTGAGAAGTGTTATTCCTCTATACAGGTATGAACACCATATAGAGATTTGTTCCCAACCTGTCCATAATATGTCTTTGCAGAAAACATTGAACCATGTATTTTTAGGAAAAAAATTACTTATCTTTTTTTTATCTTGTTTCTACATAATGAGTGTATTTAAGAGCCAATCTGCCAGAAAACAATGCAAAAGGTTCCAAATGCAATGTTGTCATATTGACCTGAAATTTTGCATACACGATACCTTCATAGCAACTACTTTCTGTGCAAAATATTTTTAAAATGTATTCAATGTTATTATGTTACTCTCTATATGGAGCTCCATCTATATATAGCCATTTATGGTCCAAAAAAAGATGAAAATTAGCCAATTTCAGCAGTTTTAAGCTGAAATTACCAGTGTTTAGCAGCATGTAACTGTTTTATTGGTAATAATTAAATATGTTGTAATACTGTATTTTTACTGCTAAATATGTTAATACCTGAGGTTAATTTTTTTCCTATATTTGCTCAATTCTGGTCCAAATATCCGAGGTTTTATGAAACGGTTAAAATGGTGAAATTTGCTTATTTTTAAAAGTCTATATTTTCTAAATTGGCAAAAATATTTTAATGCCATTTGTTTTTTCTTAAACCCTAATCATATATATCTACAAAATATAAAAATTCCAATTTCTGCAAATGATCTTAGTACTCAATGTAAATTTATTAGTTTGGAAGGAATTGTGGTGTAGCAGGTGTTATCTATATTAATGATACTTCTCTTAGGGAGCTACCATTTGATTTTAATGTTTTTATGGGGGGCTAGGATCAAATTTGAAAAAAATAGACAGGACAGGAGTTTTGAGTTAAAAAAAAAAGGCAGGATGAGACACTTGCTAAAAAAAAAAGTCAGGATGACAATTTAGGTAAAAAAAGTCAGGACCGAATAGAGTGAAAAATTAAAAAGACAGGACAGAGATAACAACTAAAAAAAAATGCAGGACAACATTTTTCAGCCTAGCCCCCGCCCCCCCCCCCCCCTAAAAATCAAATGGTAGCTCCCTTATTTAGAAAATAAATATATGACTTACTAGTTTAATAAAACTAAAATATTTAATTAGTATCTCATACAACTTTCACATTAAACCCTTTAGTGGTTGCGGAGGAGTTGTGGACTGCAGGTAGTTACACTACACCAATACTGATTATCCAAAGTTTCCCCCATATACCCTCAATGGGAAAAAAACATATGGTGCACAATTTCACAACCCTCACAAGACATATCATAAGTTAGTTGGATTTATATATCTTCTGTTCTTTGAGAGGACATATAAGGATTGTAGATATATTACAAACAGACAGACAGACAGACCGACCGACATTATGAATATTATATATCCCCCAGCTATCAATAGCATGGGTATAATAAGTCTCTTTATAAAAGGATCAAATGGATTCTGCAAAGCCAATAATTACAGGTCAAGCTAGCCCTACTGGCCTGTTAAATAATTTATTAAAAGAAGAACGCTTGGGGGATATGGTTGGGTCACTACTGTGGATATGCGTATGAATCTTTCCAATGGAATAAGACATGTACAGAAAGTTTATCAAATCACCAATTAATATATATATCTAAATTAAAAAGGAGGGATATGTTGTATATATTCATGATATTTACTTGATAAAATCCCAGCAAATTAACAAAGCTATTATTGCTGTTCTTCCTCTAAAAGTCACAGTGATGCTTTCAACATGTACAAAAAGCTCACAGCAAGTTCAAAATGACCCCTTAGCAATTTTTAACTTCATTTAGACTTAAACTGTCAGATTCTTATGTACATAAAATAACATGTTTCAATCATTTTCATTTTATATTTATTCAAAATACATGTATCAAGGGAATTAATACAGGAAAGTAAAACACTAAATTGACTAATACAATGACGGTGGCATTTTTTTGTTATTACACTACTGTTTTTGCAACAAGAATCAATATTAAGTTGAAATGTCTATGCTATCTGTATGTAATATATGTTGCCAAGTCTGTAGAAACAGCATGTACCAGTATGTCATCACTTGACATTTTGCTTTGCAAATCTTTGTCATCAACTATATTCAAATTCTTAATTTTAACTAATGACGACTTTGCTGGACCTCTAGTTCCTCAATAGTTTAGATTATTAAAAGTTTGATTAAAAATTAGTCTTTTTTCTGTTGCACTGCATTCTATGTATATATCATGTAAAAATTCCATAACCCTACTATTAAAACGTTTCAATGGCTAATAGAAACTGTAAAAGACCATCATTCTGCAATATTCAAATTTGTTGTCAAAACTGATTGTAGAGAAACCTTTGTGCTCATGACACATGTCTCAGCCTAGAGAAGTTTCACTATGTAGTTACTATTTTCTTTGTTGGCATATACACCCTTGCCTATGCATATATGATATTTTTCTAAGACATGAGGTTTTTGTATAAACCTTTATGCAATTTCACTCAGGACAAGCAAAGAAAGATTCATCATCTGAAATATCATCAGCTATTACATTTGCTTTTGAAAAAAATATTCTGTTTCTGCTGTTAGAAAAACCGGCAAAAATTCCAAAAAAAGGGGGGGGGGGGGCTTTGGACACATGTATCATTGGTCTGCTCAAGACTTTTTTATTTTTGTTTGACAGTTCTATTATAATGTACAGTTTGACATGTGACTGCTTCCATTGGCAATTTGTTACAATTTCATGTGATCATTCATAACAACATGCAGGTATTTGATAAACCATATCAAATTCATGAACGTGTGCTAGTAAATTTCATTTAGCCAATGTCACAGTACTGACCTGGACCTGAAAATAACCAAAGATAAAAATCATCAAGAATTTGGTCCACCAAGACAATGCATACTGGATGGTGGCATCATTTTTACCATTCTTGAGTTATGCCCCTTTTTAAACATAAAAATTGCTGAATTTTTGGTTTCTGTTCTCTTATTAAACTTTAGTTTTCTCAACTAAATGTTATGAAACTTACACACAATGCTTATAATCACCAAAGTTCAGAATACGAAGGGGGGTATAAGTTTTTATACGACCGCAAAAAACTTTTGAAGTCGTATATTGGCGGCGTCGACGTCAGCGTTGTCGTCGTCGTCCGAAGACACATTGGTTTTCGCACTCTAACTTTAGTTTAAGTGAATGGATCTCTATGAAATTTTACCACAAGGTTCAATACTACAAAAGGAAGGTGGAGATTGATTTTGGGGGTTATGGTACCAACAGTAAAGGAAAAAGGGGCCAAAAATAAGCATTTTTGTAACTTCCAGACATAACTTGTGTGTTAGTGTATGGATCTCTCTTACATTGTACCACAAGGTTCCATATCACAAAGGGAATGCTGGGATTGATTTTGGGGGTAATTGCCTCCAAATTTTAGGAATTATGGGCCAAAAAGGGGCAAAAAACAAGCATTTTTCTAGTTTCATGACAATAACTTGTGTGTAAGTGTATGGATCTCTCTGACATTGTACCACAAGGTTCCATATCACAAAGGGAATGCTAGGATTGATTTTGGGGGTAATTGCCTCCAAATTTTAGGAATTAGGGGCAAAAAAGGGGCAAAAAACAAGCTTTTTTCTAGTTTCATGACAATAACTTGTGTGTAAGTGTATGGATCTCTCTGACATTGTACCACAAGGTTCCATATCACAAAGGGAATGCTAGGATTGATTTTGGGGGTAATTGCCTCCAAATTTTAGGAATTAGGGGCAAAAAAGGGGCAAAAAACAAGCTTTTTTCTAGTTTCATGACAATAACTTGTGTGTAAGTGTATGGATCTCTCTGACATTGTACCACAAGGTTCCATATCACAAAGGAAATGCTGGGATTGATTTTGGGGGTAATTGCCTCCAAATTGTAGGAATTAGGGGCCAAAAAGGGCAAAAAAACAAGCATTTTTTCTAGTTTCATGACAATAACTTGTGTGTAAGTGTATGGATCTTTATGAAATTGTACTACAAGGTTCCATATTACAAAGGGAAAGCTGGAATTGAGTTTTGGGGTAATTGCCCAAAATGTTTAGGAATAAGGGGCCAAAAATAAGCATTTTTCTAGTTTCCAGACAATAACTTGTGTTCAAGTGTATGGATCTCTCTGAAATTGTACTGCAAGGTACCATACCACAAAGGGAAGGCTGGGATTGATTTTGATGGTAATTCCTTCAAAATTTTAGGAATTAGGGGCCATAAAAGGGCAAAAAAATAAGCATTTTTCTAGTTTCAGGACAATAACTTGTGTGTAGTGTATGGATCTTTATGAAATTGTACTGCAAGGTTCCATATCACAAAGGGAAAGCTGGGTTTGAGTTTGGGGGTAATTGCCCTAAACGTTTAGGAATTTGGGGTCAAAAAGGGGCCAAAAAACAAGCATTTTTCTAGTTTCCAGACAATAACTTGTGTTCAAGTGTATGGATCTCTCTGACATTGTACCACAAGGTTCCATATCACAAAGGGAATGCTGGGATTGATTTTGGGGGTAATTGCCTCCAAATTTTAGGAATTAGGGGCAAAAAAGGGGCAAAAAACAAGCATTTTTCTAGTTTCATGACAATAACTTGTGTGTAAGTGTATGGATCTCTCTGACATTGTACCACAAGGTTCCATATCACAAAGGGAATGCTAGGATTGATTTTGGGGGTAATTGCCTCCAAATTTTAGGAATTAGGGGCAAAAAAGGGGCAAAAAACAAGCTTTTTTTCTAGTTTCATGACAATAACTTGTGTGTAAGTGTATGGATCTCTCTGACATTGTACCACAAGGTTCCATATCACAAAGGAAATGCTGGGATTGATTTTGGGGGTAATTGCCTCCAAATTGTAGGAATTAGGGGCCAAAAAGGGCCAAAAAACAAGCATTTTTTCTAGTTTCATGACAATAACTTGTGTGTAAGTGTATGGATCTTTATGAAATTGTACTACAAGGTTCCATATTACAAAGGGAAAGCTGGAATTGAGTTTTGGGGTAATTGCCCAAAATGTTTAGGAATAAGGGGCCAAAAAGGGGCCAAAAATAAGCATTTTTCTAGTTTCCAGACAATAACTTGTGTTCAAGTGTATGGATCTCTCTGAAATTGTACTGCAAGGTACCATACCACAAAGGGAAGGCTGGGATTGATTTTGATGGTAATTCCTTCAAAATTTTAGGAATTAGGGGCCATAAAAGGGCAAAAAAATAAGCATTTTTCTAGTTTCAGGACAATAACTTGTGTGTAGTGTATGGATCTTTATGAAATTGTACTGCAAGGTTCCATATCACAAAGGGAAAGCTGGGTTTGAGTTTGGGGGTAATTGCCCTAAACGTTTAGGAATTTGGGGTCAAAAAGGGGCCAAAAAACAAGCATTTTTCTAGTTTCCAGACAATAACTTGTGTTCAAGTGTATGGATCTCTCTGAAATTGTACTGCAAGGTACCATACCAAAAAGGGAAGGCTGGGATTGAGTTTGGTGGTGATGAATCATAAGGGGGTTCAAAAAATTTGGGGAGGGGGGATTTTTTTCCCTTTTTTTTCTTTTAAATTTTCCATTTTAAATTGGTTATTTCTGATTTATATATAAAAGCAAATAATAATGATATGGTTTGAATAGGTAAATTAAAAATTTTAAGTTCTTAGACCACATTCATTCTGTGTCAGAAACCTATGCTGTGTCAAATATTTAATTACAATCCAAATTTAGTGCTGTATCAAGCTTGAATGTTGTGTCCATACTTGCCCCAACTGTTCAGGGTTCGACCTCTGTGGTCGTATCAAGCTGCGCCCCAGCGAAGCATTTTATTATTATTACATTGATCTTTTGATGTGGTCTTTTCATAGATTCATGACGAGGTCAAGGTCAGATGAAATCTGCCAGACAGACATGTACACTTTACACCAAATATAGTGACCCTCATGCTTATAGTTCCTGAGAAACAGATAAAACCATGTAAACTTATTTAAGGATCTGGTCTTGCTAATCATTTTTGGTATATAAATTTTCTATCTATTATAGTTTTCAGGCAAATAGGCATAACGGAAAAAAATTGGTGTCATTTTTCTCTATCTATTAAGTGGTTTTCAAGATAATAGACAAATTCTCCTTTATCCTTATGTTTTATATTAAACCCATATTGCCCTTGTTGGTCATCGGACACATTTTGTAAACTAGACACCATAGTGATTAATCAAATTTGGCCTAGAAGTTTCAGAGGTGAATATTTGTGTAAAAGATAATGGACGGTGACAAATGCCAAGTGAGGAGAAAAGCTCACTTGAACCTTTGGGACATGCGAGGTAAAAAATTAGAAAACTGACGTAGGAAACCACTCGCACATAAAAAAAAAAAAAATTCGGATACAAACTAAGCAATATATTTAATCGGGTTTCAAGTTTCGGGAATTTTGTCACAGGATAACTTTAGGATATATGTCCTATGTAAATATAAAGTGTCTTACAAAAAACCTAACTACTTGATGAAAAACACAGCACAAACTTATTTTTATGCCCCACCTACGATAGAAGAGGGGCATTACGTTTTTCAGTCTATGCGTCCCTTCGTTTGTTCGTTCGTTCGTCTGTCCCGCTTCAGGTTAAAGTTTTTGGTCAATGTAGTTTTTGATGAAGTTGAAGTCCAATCAACTTGAAATTTAGTACACATATTCCCTATGGTATGATCTTTCTAATTGTAAATGCCAAATAAGAGTTTTGACCCCAATTTCACGTGACGGTCCACTGAACATAGAAAATGAGTGGAGCATCCATATATTATGGACACATTCTTGTTTGTTGACTAGCTTGAGTACTGCATTTTGTGAGCTGCCAGGTTAATAAGACAAAAAAATAATATAAAGATATTGAATTGATATTGTATAGTGTATAGTGTATATCTTTAGGTGTAATACCACCAAATCATAGCAAGTCACATCCGGTTGCATACAAAAATAGGTTGAAAAAAAATATTCCCTTAAACATTTCTGGGTCATAAACATATACCTTGGGTATTTCAAAGCACCATTATTTTTTTATTTGGGGTTTCTATAGAATATTTTGGAAACTTGAGTGGATTGATTCTCCAAAACACATTTTATAAGAAAATTTCCTTGAAATAGGACTTTACCATGAATATTAGTTGACAGAACAAGCCATACTTAAGAGTTTTGGGGAGCTTTTTCTCCTTATTTCTTGTATTCTGCTATACTAGAAAATTTTTCCTAAGAAATACTTTTATAAATATATAGTTTTAAGTAAATGAAATTATTTTTAAAGCAGTAACAACAAATTATTCACCAAAAGAGGAGCTTTTTATGTCCCTCTCTGGAACGCGGTGTAAATTTAAGTTTTATGTAAGGACCTATTGAAACCTCCTTGGAGACAGTAAACTTTTATAAGGGTAGTTCATTCAGCTTGAATACTTCAATTAATCATTTATTATAACATTTCTATCATAAATGAGTGAAAGTTACCAAAATTTTTATTTATTGGCCTAAAAAGTAGAAATTTTGAGGAAATGAGAGGTATGAATCGACCAAAAGAGACCTTATAAGGAAGACAAAGAGGTCCATTAGTAATATTTATCATCCTAAAGTCATCTTTTGTATCATGTTCAACTGTTTGTAGGCAGATGAGATAAATATTTGATCATTTATTGGTCCACACTACATTCTATCATGATGCTGCTTGGTTTGGATTTTTTAAAGAAAGCTGTAGATGTCGTCTTACATTATACTAGATTTTTCTCAAACTATTGAACTGATTATGACAGAACTTGACAGGAATGCTTGAAATAACCAGTATTACAAAAGAAAAAAGTCACATTCAGTTTATTTAACAAAAAAGTCTTCTTTAGGTGTAGTACGTCACATCCGGTTGCATATGAAAATAGGTTGAAAAAAATATTCCCTTGAATTTGACAGTTGTAGGTAATTAATCCTACATTTCATTGCAGTAAAACATTTCTGGGTCATAAACATATATCTTGGGTATTTCAAAGCACCATTATTTTTTTATTTGGGGTTTCTATAGAATATTTTGGAAACTTGAGGTTACATGGTTACTAAAGCTTGTACACAGGTTAAAAAAGTGAAAATTTAATTAATTAACTTCCAGTGTTGGTTATTTTTTTATATGCCATGAAATGTTATGTGAAATATTTTTTATAATACTGGAAAGGATAAAACTTTACTCATGCCAAGTATTTCTTTATTTGAAACAGATCAATTCTGCACAATTTTTTTAAAAGTGCAAATTTAACAAAGACTAATATGATAATTATATGGGAAAATCAATGGTGGTATTACACCTTTATATTATTTATATAACACTATACAGTATATATAATACACTATACAATATCAATTCAATAACTCATACTATAAAAATAATCTCATCTTAACCTATGTATTTCATTTTGAAAAACTAAATAACTACATTCCAATGATTTGTGGCTGACCAGGTAAAAACCCACTTTTAGGAACCCGAGTCCTTTTGTCAATGCCAGCTAAACTCTAGGGTAGGACCTTACTAGGGAATGAGAAAGACATTGACAAAAGATGATTTTGTGCATTAACTACAAATATAACACAACACAAACATAATCTTACTTTGCTGACAGCCTGTTATGCTCGATGGACGCCAGATTGTATTATATAAATATTCACAAATACTATTATTGCAATGCATACATAATTCAAAATCATACAATTCCTATGTATATTTATTATCCTAAATACAACCAAACCAACTTTGACTAAATACACCCCTTCATAGACGGTCATGGCCAGCCAGGAACAACTAGAGATAAAAAAAACCCTGATATAATCGATCAGAAAAAAAAGGTCTCCAGGGTCAGGTGCTTGACCTACACCTTGAATCTTGATTACTGTTACAGAATTGATCACATAATTATTTTATGCAGGCACAGGAATTGTTATCTGAAAATGAAATAGACACTTTTCAATTTCTCTGCCTTATTTTATGAAATTGAAAAAGGAAAACACTAATTAACTGGGAATTACAATTAAAGATTAACTCTTTTATTATTCTTATTAAAGCAGAGACATATATACATGTATATATGTCTCTGATTAATGTGATTCATTGTCATACATTTTAAACTGCAAACAAGGAATTATTGGAATCTGAAATAAATTTGAATTCTGGAAAATTGATAAGAAATGTATGATGAAAACTAACCATAAGTAGATATAAGATGTGGTATGAGTGCCAATGAGACAACTCTCCATCCAAGTCACAATTGTAAAAGTAAACCATTATAGGTCAAAGTACGGCCTTCAACATGTAGCCTTGGCTCACACTGAACAGCAAGCTATAAAGAGCCGCAAAAATGACATTCAAACAGGAAAACCAATGTTCTAATCATATAAAAACTGAGAAACTAGAAACACTTATGAACCACATCAACAACGACAACCACTGAACATCAGGTTCCTGACTTAGGACAGGTGCAAACAAATGCAGCGGGTTTAAACGTTTTAATAGGCGTCAACCTTCACCATACCTGAAACAATAGTGTAACATCACAACATAGAAACACACTATAAAATGTCAATTGCAATGGCTTAACTCAATCAAAAGACATATCAAGGGGGTTAGATGTAAAACAATATCAGAAAGGCAACGGTAACCTTGGACAAAATGCCACCAAATAAAATAACGTACACAGGTAAATAAAAATAATTTTGTTGTAAGTTATACATAAGGTTCATTTTACTATCACTGATATTTCAATATGAACTAACTAAGCCCACTCAGCCTTGTATGCATGGCCAACCGTCCTTAATAGGGTTAGTTTTCATCATACATTCCTTATCAATTTTGCAGAATTCAGAACTATTCCAGATTCCAATAATTCCCAGATACCTAGCTCCCTATATGCCAACATGCAGTTGCGTGCACATCGGCATGCTGAAAAAAGGGCAAAACAAAATATGAATAAATATGACGAGGCCATGTGGTCGACAGACTACCAGAGCCAATCACCCTGCAAACACGCCAAAACAGTATTGGAAAGTTTCATTATATTTTGCGTTCATAGACCACATGATAATGAAACTGGAGTCGCGTTTGATATCTTCAGAAAATCGCTTCTTTGCGCAGTATCTGCTTTCTCGTGTTGTAGGAAATATAACCAATGAACAAATCGCAACATTGTTTGAGACATACAAGACTGACCTGGCATGTAATTTAGAAGAATTCATTGGGGAGGTAGCCCGATGGCGAACATGCTGCCGCTGGTGTATAACACCTCACAATCAGATGCCAACCTTCGCTGCGCTACGCGCGATGCGGTAAGCCCAGTGCTGTATTCTTCTGTATATAGATACTATTTTGAGTATTATGATGACAATGCCGGTACCGCTAGTTTTCTGTGTTGCAGATTTTGAGACTTCATATGCATGATTCAGGAAATAAAACTACTTTTGGCAATTTTTTCCCGTATGATTTATAAAGAAACTAATTCCTATCATAGAATTTAACCAAATGCCAGCTTCTTAGTCAAAATTTATTGGTTTTAAAGTAAATTTTACATTGAAATGTAATGTGTCGCTCAGGGTGTCATATTTTGCATCTCTGAAGGGGAGGCATTTATTAAAACAAGGATAGATTTATCTTTAATTCGGTCCTTATCCGATAATTTGTAATTCAAGCAGAAAAAAATGATATCTTCAGAAAATCGCTTCTTTGCACAGTATCTGCTTTCTCGTGTTGTAGGAAATATAACCAACAAACAAAACATTGTTTGAGACATACGAGACTGACCTGGCATGTAATTTAGAAGAATTCAATCGGGAGGTCATTCAATGGCGAACATGCTCGATGGCGAAAAAAATGTCCTGATTTTCAAGATGTAAGCCATTTAAATTTGGCAAGAAATGATTCTGTAGAATTTTCATACATTTAACATTGGCACCTTTTTTCTTTTATCAAATGCGTGACATTTTTCAATGTACCTCTTTAGTTTATTTTACACAGGCGTATTAAGGAAATGTAGTCCAGCAGAGTTCTCAATAAGTGGTGGTAAGAAGGTTTTGCCCTCCACCATATTCAAAGGACTGACTATTTTGTTGTTTTTCTATAGTGAGGATCAGCAGATTATCTTCAAGGACTCTCTGATGAAAACCAAATGTAATATGTTGATATTTATATTTTCATGCAGACATCATTGATTTATTCAAACATTTCTTAGATTTCTGACGTTATTCCCATGACTTTTGTATGTGATCATGTATGTTGAACAAAAAATATTAGACACTGTGACTCTGAAAAGAAACTATCTCTGAACTAAAGATATTTGTAAACAATTTTTATTGTAATGAGCATGGTCTTGACTAAAATAAAAACTACATATAAATTATATTGAGTTATCATATGATTTGTGTATTCCTAGTACAATACATAATTTTACGTATGTATTAATCGGTGTAATTCTGAAATTTACAAGTTGGTTCTACAATATCATTAAAACTATATGATGGTTCACTCTGCATTAAAAGCCACAATAAATCTAAAATTAAAACTATATGATGGTTCACTCTGCATTAAAAGCCACAATAAATCCATGATTTAAATATATGTTAAAAGTTTAAAATTTGTATCCCCCCTTTTTTACTAGTATGACACATACTGTACAACTAGAATGTACAATTTGTTCCAGAATATTTTGTTTACCTGGAGTACATTTGTATATGGGAAACACTGTGAAGGCAATTAATTAAGGGTTTGTATATCGAGACTATGAAAAAGGGTAGGTACATGTAACTAAACATGCTATAGAATATATTGACCTAATTGAAAGGAAATGAAAAAACTATTGAGTGACAAGCATATAATAGCAAAACAAGTTGTGAACAGTCCTGTTTAAACTAACTTAATTCTTGATATTCTAATGTGGCTCTTTATTCCAGGCTTGTGACTGGCAAGTTGTACTGTATTCATAATAATAAGCACCTTGGTTTTATTTAGAAATTAAAAATGGGGTATCTTACATCAATAAAAATGATAAAAGATGTAAATATTGGTCTGCTCTAGATGATGATTGTAAAGATAATTTTTAAAATAGATTTTCTGAATGATGAGGTTATATTATTGAATCACAAATTTTTTAGGCTAATCTAAGAGTACTATCACGATTGTGGGTGTTATGGTGCATGAAAATTGGCGAATACAGTATTACTTGGCTGCATTACCCACCTCCCTCCTCAAATATTTTTTTCTTTCTTTTTTTTTTATTTTCCTTTCTTTTTTTCTCTTTTTTTTCATTTTGTTTATTTCTATTTTCTTTTCTTTTTTTCTGTCTTTTTTTTTTTCTTTCTTTCTTTTTTTTTTTCTTTCATTTTGTTTTCATTTTGTTTTCTTTCATTTTTTCTATTCATTACATGTATGTACACAAGTTTCAAGCACATGCATTATTTTTTTAATTTTTTTCCCCCTTTCTTATATAAATATAAATATAAATATATACATGTATGTACAGTCTTCTAAACCTTGTAGAAGATTTTGAACAATGTTTTTAGAATCAGAACTAGGTACTGATGCCCCAACGTTCCATTAGTTGTTTTGTTTGTTGATGCATTTTTTGTCCTCATTTGGTTGTATTTTCCAAGCGGTTTAAATCCAACAATCATCTTGGCTCTCTCATACTGTTCAGTAAAAGACCTGTTTCCTGGATTTTCCGTTGCAAGTCTTCTGTATTTTGTAAAACTTTTAACTTCTTCGCCGGTTCCTAGAATTGTATCAACCAGTGTTGATGTTATTTTGTCTGGAAAAAAAGATTTATTGATTTATAACATTAAAGAAGACTAATGATAAGACTCATCAATGATTTGTAGATCAAACAGAATTTTTTTTTTATATATTTTATTGTTTAAAGTTGATTATCTACATAGGGAATCATTTAAATTATATTGGGATATTATGACCAAAAGGCTAGTTTAGCTAGTGCATTCTCAGATAGTAGCCTGGAAACTCCAGACCAATTTAACAAAAAAGTTTTTGGAGCAATGCTTCATTTAAACCCAATTCACATTCAGCTGTGCATATATTTGTGTACATGTACTTTAATACAGGGCACACATGGGCACTCAACTAGAATGTAATTGGGCTTGCATGCACTTTCTTGCAATCTCTTGAAAAATTTGTAAGGGTTCCGCGGAACCCAGTGTCTCGCCTACTTTTGCTGTTAATTGCAGGCTCAACAAAAATGAGGGAAAAAAATCAATAAAAATATTCCTTTAGATACTATCTTTTGATTGTAAGAAGCTTCTGTCAAAGTTTGGTATAAATCCAGGATAGTTTATGAATCTAATAAATGTTTTAAAAACTTTAACTGCAGACTGTATTTAATGTTAACTGGAAGAAAAACTAAGTCCATTTATAAGTAAAATACAGATAAACAGGTACAAATTTGAACAAAAGTTTCTTCTAGATACTAGCTTTTGATCATAAACAAGCTTCTGTCCACATTTGGTACAAATCCAGGATAGTTTTAGAAAGTTATTAAAATTTTAAAAACCAGAGTGAAAATATTGTTTCCTGGCATAAAAACTAAGTCCATTTATAAGTAAAATACGGAAAAAATGAAATTTTTTTTTTTTTAACCAATTTACTTCTGGATACTATCTTATGATCATAAACAAGCTTCTGTTCAAGTTTGGTACAAATCTTGGATAGTTTAAGAAAGTTATTAAAATCTTAAAAACTTTAACCACAGAGTGAATGTATTGTTTCCTGGCAGAAAAACTAAGTCCATTTATAAGTAGAATATGGAAAAAATAAAAAAAAATTTTTAACAAATTTACTTCTGGATACTATCTTATGATCATAAACAAGCTTCTGTCCAAGTTTGGTACAAATCCAGGATAATTTAAGAAAGTTGTTAAAATTTTAAAAACTTTAACCACAGAGTGAATGTAATGTTTCCTGGCAGAAAAACTAAGTCCATTTACAAGTAAAATACGGAAAAACAGGAATTTTATTTTTACAAAATTTACTTCTGGATACTATCTTATGATCATAAACAAGCTTCTGTCCAAGTTTGGTACAAATCCAGGATAATTTAAGAAAGTTGTTAAAATTTTAAAAACTTTAACCACAGAGTGAATGTAATGTTTCCTGGCAGAAAAACTAAGTCCATTTACAAGTAAAATACGGAAAAACAGGAATTTTATTTTTACAAAATTTACTTCTGGATACTATCTTATGATCATAAACAAGCTTCTGTCCAAGTTTGGTAGAAATCCAGGATAGTTTAAGAAAGTTATTAAAATTTCAAAAACTTTAACCACAGAGTGAATATTTGTGGACGCCGCCAACAACGACAATGACGCCGACGGAATGTAGGATCGCTATGTCTCGCTTTTTTGACTTAAAGTCGAAGGCTCGACAAAAATCATACATACTGTGGATTCATTATTAATAGTTGGATAACAATTTTTGTGGATTTCGTGGTTAACCTTTTTGTGGTTATAGGTTTACCTTGAAATAAAATGTTCAAAGAATGGCAAATTCGTAAGGGCTCCGCGGAACCAAGTGTCTCGCCTACTTTTGCTGTTAGTCGCAGGCTCAACAAAATGGGCTTCTGTCCAAGTTTGGTTGAAATGCAGGATAGTTTAAGAAAGTTAATAAAATTTGAAAAACTTTAACCAAAGTGTGAATATTTGTGAACGCCGCTGCCGACGGAATGTAGGATCGCTATGTCTCGCTTTGCGACAAAAGCCGCAGGCTCGACAAAAACAACAAAATTAAATATCCACGAACATGCAAGTTTTCCTTAATCCATGAAAATTGGTACCCACGAAAATAAATGAATCCACAGTAAACATTTAGAATTAGTAGAATTTAGTGCTTTCAGATTGTGGTTAAAAGTACCCCCATCTTTCCTTAAAATACATAATACATTAATGGAACAGTAATTTTGCACACTGTTGAAGCATGTTTTGTTTAAATACTACATACAGCATACCTGCCAGCATTTCAAAATGCCCATGGGGGTTTTCTGTGTGAGATGGGTCTTAATAGTCCAACAAAACCTTCAATGGGTCCTTCAAATGTATTTTAATGTTTTTTTTTGCTTCTTCATACTTTTACTATCCTATAACCATGGTAAAATTGATTGTTTTGTTTTAAATTGTCGACAAAATTGCTCTTTCAAAATTTCCATTTGGGAACTGTCATGGGGGAAATCCCCCACAAATAGTGACAGTTGGCAGGTATGCATACAGATATATATCTACCTGTTTGTGTACATATGTTTATAATGAATTCAGTTTCTTCAGGTTCCTGACAATCTTTCAAGCCAAAAAGATCCAAATCTTTAGGCCACACCAATTTGATTTTTAGTTCTTCGGACAAAAGCTCCAAAAAATATGGGGTGAGGGAGCGAAATTTTTTTTATTGTATTTATTTCTTGAAAATGAGTTTTTGTTGAGGCGGGTGCTCTACAAGTGGAGCGAGCGGTATAATATTTTTTTTAAATTGTGCGATTTAGAATTTTATGTACATGTAAAACTGGTTACTTCAAAGAAAAAGGAAGATAAACATGCTCTTATTCATATAATTTGATGTATTTGTGCCTGTAGTACAGTCTGTACCATACACAACTCTCTGGTTCGCTTTGGTTTAGTATAATTTTGATTATTTTCGTCAAATAAGCTTTGACTGCCGCTCTGCATGAATTTTCATTAAAAATTAAATTCATACATGTGTATATATTAAGGAAGCATAGCAGATGCAGTTTAGCAAGAGGAATTATGTTAGTGAGGTGAATTTAAATGAAATGTGTTGAATACAATTAAAATGTATGTATTACAAAACTGAATGCCCTAGAAAAATATTAATTATCTTTTAATTTGAAATAGTTGTTTTTATTATATGGTAATGATTGTTTAATTGGCTGCTTGACATCCAGTTGGAACTATTTATCCATAATAGGATCAACATAATGTGTAAGGTTAATAGTTCAACAACATCCTCAGTAAGATAGTTATATTGCTATGCATGTAGATCTCAATTTATTAAAAAATTCCCTTAAAATACACATGCATTATTCTGACTTAGCAAAATACTTTTTCCTTTTGCCCCTGAAACCTGCAATGTATTTTAAACTGTAAGTGGTTGCACCAATAACACATCCCTAATTATTATTAGCATGCCAATCCCAATACCACCACTTTGGTCTCAAACGTTGGAACTTTTAAATTTTCCCTTACAAAAGAGTTCTGATTGCATGTCAATAGACTAACAAGGGGATATGAGGTTTTCATCAAAATAAGATAAATCTGTCATTTTTTAAAAACTCGTGTGAATTTAATATTAATTTCATCCAAGACTTCTACTTCTACTTCTACCAATACGCGGCCACCATCAATAAGTTGATAATTTTGCCACTTTTTGGATGCGCATTTAAAATTTAGACAAAAAATAGATATTGATTTTATTTGAATTTGTGCTATACATCATATATACAGTGAATTTAAAAACATCTTGGCGTTGATCTAGTTCATCTCATGCAGGTAAGTCTTGAAGCATTCAAGACTACCTGTATTGGTGGCAGTATGTGGTAGGGCATTCCAGTCTCATATCGTCCTTTGGGTAAAAAAATTCCTTCCGCACTTCGGTCCTACAAAATGGTACTTGGTATCCATTTGTGTTGATGTTTCTGGATAGCCTATCTGGTGGAATGAGAGTATTACAGGTGTCAACTTTCACCATCCCGTTAGACAGAACTGGTGTCAACTTTCACCATTCCGTTAGACAGATATATCTTTCTATGTCTGTTGTAATCCTAGATTACTCTGACGTCCAACGGCTGTTTTGCCAGACAAGCTGGAGCCGTGGGACAACAGCGCTCCATCTTGTGTGGCAAAACAGCCGTTGGACATCAGAGTAATCTCGGACTATGTCTGTTGAAACAATGATCGGGGATGACAATGGTTCTAACTTCTAACAAGTACTGATGTAATAGTGGTCACCTAACAAAAGATTTTTTTTATTTTTGTCTCCTATAACAGGTCTTCATAGGTAAAACGAAATGCGTTTAAAATAACTGTGTTTAATAACTACTTGTACTTGGCAATGATCTGACACAACTTCATTTTGGCATCCCGATTTTTGACCTTTTATTTACAAATCACTTTACCACACGTGCGTTTGAATTGATCGGAGCAATATATGCACAAGAAAAACGTCTTTTAAAGAAAAAAAAATATCAAGGATAAACTAATTTTGGAGCGGCATGCGGCCCAAAAATTGGCGGAAGCGGTAATTATTTTTTTTTATTGAAAAGTCAATTTCTCCAAAACAGGAGCGGGAAAATCCAAAGAACTATTAATCAAATTGGTGTGGCCTTATCTGCATAATAAAAAAAACTTAGGCCAAATAAAAATATATGCGTGGTTCCAGTTACATTCTCAAAAGATACATTCGCTAGGTTGGCATTGTTTTTTGGGATTGTCAAAATCCAGAAAAAAAATTGTGTGTTCACTGAGTCCGATTCTGGTATTGTACACGCCCCTACCGCAAGTTTTCCATTTTCTATATTCGGTTTTAAAATAAACAGACATGTTACGTTTTTTAGTTAATTTTGTTGCATTCTGTTAAGAATTTGTTGCATTTTTAGCCTGAGTGGATAATTTTATTGGAAATTCTTATGACAGAAGTCTGTGAAATTAATTATTGAAATTCACATTCCATAAAATGGGATCATTCAAAATTTATTTTACAGAATTTAAAAGAAAATTTCTAGGGTGGGTCTGGTTACTTGAACCACACATATATTTTTTTATTTTGCCTTGTTATTCTTATGGGAATGATGGCAATTGGTAATATTTTAATCGAGGTAGGTTTTGAAAATTAGAATCAAAATGAAGGCAATAGTATGTGATTTAAAAAGAATTTTTGTTTCTGATTGTTGTTAACATATAGTTCATTTTTTATGCCAGCACCGAAGCTGAGGGGGCATTAAGTGTTGTCCATCTGTATGTACATCCCAAAAGTGGTTACCATTTTTAACTTTGCCTCAACCAAATGTTTTGAAACTTATACAAAATGCTAATTACCACAAAACACTGTTCAGCTTTGAATTGAAATGGCGTCAATTTTACTGTTTGTCCCTTTATAATGTTATATGCAAGCAGGGGCATCATCTGTGTCCCATGGACACATTCTCCATTTATTTTAAACAATTGTTTTTAGAATCTGAACTAGGTACTGATGCCCCAATGTTCCAATAGTTGATTTGTTTGTTGATGCAGTGCATTTTTGTTTTCATTTGATTGTATTTTCCAAGCATTTTAAATCCAACAATCATCTTTGCTCTCTCATACTGTTCAGTAAAAGACCTGTTTCCTGGATTTTCCATTGCAAGTCTTCTGAATTTTGTAAAACTTTTAACTTCTCCACCTGTTCCTAGAATTGTATCAACCAGTGTTGTTGTTATTTTGTCTGGAAAAAACGATTTATTGATTTATAACATTAAAGAAGACTCTGATAAGACTAATGATTTGTAGATCAAACATCTTTCCTTTAAATACATAACACATTATTGGAACAGTAATTTTGCACACTGTTGAAGCATGTTTTGTTTGAATACTTTATACAAATATATATCTACCTGTTTATGTACATATGTTTATAATGGATTCAGTTTCTTCATGTTCCTGACAACCTTTCAAGCCAAAAGGATTCATATTTTCATCTGCATATTAAAAAAAAACATCAGCCAAATAAAAATGTATGTGTGATTCCAGTTACATATTCACGAAAAAAGACAGGGTTAGTATATCTGCATTTTTTTTATTTGGATTGTCAAAATGCGGAAAAAATATCGTTCTTTCACTGAGTCTGATTCTGGTATTATACACGCCCCTACCACAAGTTTGCCATTTTTTATATGTTTAGTTGTAAAATAAACAGACATGTTACATTTTTAGTTAATTTTGTTGCATTCTGTTATGAATTTGTTGCATTTTTAGCATTAGTAGATACTTTCATGGGAAATTCATATGACAGAAGCTTGTGAATTCAATTGTTGAAATTCACATTCAATTAAATGGGATCGTTCAAAATCTATTTTACAGAATTCAAAAAAAAGTTCTAGGGTACATTTGTAGGTCTGGTAACTGGAACCACACATATATTTTTATTTTGCCACTCTAACGGTAATTATGGCAATTGGTCATATTTTAATCGAGGTAGGTTTTGAAAATTAGTGTCAAAATGTAGGCAATCATATAGTTCATTTTTTATGCCAGCACCAAAGCTGAGGTGGCATGAAGTGTTGTCCATCTGTATGTACGTCCCAAAAGTGGTTATCGTTTTTAACTTTAAGTTGCCTCGACAAAATGTTTTGAAACTTATATAAAATGCTAATTACCACAAAACACTGTTCAGCTTTGAATTTAAACTGCATCAATTTACTGTTTGTCCCTTTATAATGTTAATATATGCAAGCAGGGTCATCATCTGTGTCACATTCTCCATTTATTTTGAACAATTGCTTTTAGAATCAGAACTAGGTACTGATGCCCCAACGTTCCATTAGTTGATTTGTTTGTTGATGCATTTTTTGTCTTCATTTGGTTGTATTTTTCAAGCATTCTAAATCCAACAATCATCTTGACTCTCTCATACTGTTCAGTAAAAGACCTCATTCCGGGATTTTCCGTTGCAAGTCTTCTGTATTTTGTAAGACTTAACTTCTTCACCAGTTCCTAGAATTGTATCAACCAGTGTTGTTGTTATTTTGTCTGGAAAAAACGATTTATTGATTTATAACATTAAAGAAGACTAATGATCAGACTCAATGATTTGTAGATCAAACAGAGAGGTTTTTTTTATATTTTATTGTTTAATGTTGATTATCTGCATAGGGAATCAATTATATTAGGGTATTTTATGACCAAAAGGCTAGTTTAGCTAGTGCATTCTCAGAAAGTAGCCTGGAAACTCCAGATCAATTTAACAAACAAATTTTTTGGAGCAATGCTTCATTTAAACCCAATTTACATTCAGCTGTGCATATATTTGTATACATGTACTTTAATACAGGGCACGCATAGGCACTCAACTAGGATGTAATTGGGCTTGCATGCACTTTCTTGCAAAAATCATACATACTAGTTAACATTTAGAATTAGTAAAATTTAGTGCTTTCAGATTGTGGTTAAAAGTACCCCCATCTTTCCTTAAAATACATAATACATTTATGGAACAGTAATTTTGCACACTGTTGAAGCATGTTTTGTTTAAATACTATATACAGATATATATCTACCTGTTTGTGTACATATGTTCATAATGGATTCAGTTTCTTCATGTTCCTGACAATGATCTTTCAAGCCAAAAGGATCCAAATCTTCATCTGCATAAAAAAAAAAACTTGTGCCAAATAAAATTATATGCGTGGTTCCAGTTACATTCTCAAAAAAAGATACGGTCCGTATGTTGGCATTGTTTTTTGGGATTATCAAAATCCAGAAAAAAAATCATGTGTTCACGGAGTCTGTTCTGGTATTGTACACGCCCCTACAGTTTAAAAATAATCAGACATGTTACGTTTTTTAGTTAATTTTGTTGCATTCTGTTAAGAATTTGTTGCATTTTAAGCCTTAGTTGATAATTTTATTGGAAATTCATATGACAGAAGTCTGTGAATTTAATTATTGAAATTCACATTCCATAAAATGGGATCGTTCAAAATTTATTTTACAAAATTAAAAAAAGGTTCTAGGGTGGGTCTGGTAACTGGAACCACACATATATATTTTTTTATTTTGCCTCGTTATTCTAACAGCAATCATGGCAATTGGTCATATTTTAATCGAGGTAGGTTTTGAAAATTAGAATCAAAATGAAGGCAATAGTATGTGATTTAAAAAGAATTTTTGTTTCTGATTGTTGTTAACATATAGTTCATTTTTTATGCCAGCACCGAAGCTGAGGGGGCATTAAGTGTTGTCCATCTGTATGTACATCCCAAAAGTGGTTACCATTTTTAACTTTGCCTCAACCAAATGTTTTAAAACTGATACACAATGCTAATTACCACAAAACACTGTTCAGCTTTGAATTTAAATGGCATCAATTTTACTGTTTGCATGTACTTTCTTGCAATCTCTTGAAAAATCATACATAAACATTTAGAATTAGTAGAAATTAGTGCTTTCAGACTGTGGTTAAAAGTACCCCCATCTTTCCTTTAAATACATAACACATAATTGGAACAGTAATTTTGCACACTGTTGAAGCATGTTTTGTTGGAATACTATATACAAATATATATTTACCTGTTTATGTACATATGTTTATAATGGATTCAGTTTCTTCATGTTCCTGACAATCTTTCAAGCCAAAAGGATTCATATTTCCATCTGCATATCAAAAAAAAACATCAGCCAAATAAAAATGTATGTGTGGTTCCAGTTACATTCTCCAAAAAAGACAGGGTCAGAAGATCTGCATTTTTTTTTTTTTGGATTGTCAAAATCCGGAAAAAATATCGTTCTTTCACTGAGTCTGATTCTGGTATTATACACACCCCTACCACAAGTTTGCCATTTTTTATATGTTTAGTTGTAAAATTAACAGACATGTTACATTTTTAGTTAATTTTGTTGCATTCTGTTATGAATTTGTTGCATTTTTAGCATTAGTAGATACTTTCATGGGAAATTCATATGACAGAAGCTTGTGAATTCAATTGTTGAAATTCACATTCAATTAAATGGGATCGTTCAAAATCTATTTTACAGAATTCAAAAAAAAGTTCTAGGGTACATTTGTAGGTCTGGTAACTGGAACCACACATATATTTTTATTTTGCCTTAACTCTAACGGTAATCATGGCAATTGGTCATATTTTTATTGAGGTAGGTTTTGAAAATTAGTGTCAAAATGCAGGCAATCATATAGTTCATTTTTTATGCCAGCACCGAAGCTGAGGGGGCATGAAGTGTTGTCCATCTATATGTATGTACATCCCAAAAGTGGTTATCGTTTTTAATTTTAAGTTGCCTCGACAAAATGTTTTGAAACTTATATAAAATGCTAATTACCACAAAACACTGTTCCGCTTTGAATTTAAACTGCATCAATTAACTGTTTGTCCCTTGATAATGTTAATATATGCAAGCAGGGTCATCATCTGTGTCACATTCTCCATTTATTTTGAACAATTGCTTTTAGAGTCAGAACTAGGTACTGATGCCCCAACGTTCCATTAGTTGATTTGTTTGTTGATGCATTTTTTGTCTTCATTTGGTTGTATTTTTCAAGCATTTTAAATCCAACAATCATCTTGACTCTCTCATACTGTTCAGTAAAAGACCTCATTCGGGATTTTCCGTTGCAAGTCTTCTGTATTTTGTAAGACTTAACTTCTTCACCAGTTCCTAGAATTGTATCAACCAGTGTTGTTGTTATTTTGTCTGGAAAAAACGATTTATTGATTTATAACATTAAAGAAGACTATTGATCAGACTCAATGATTTGTAGATCAAACAGAGAGGTTTTTTTTATATTTTATTGTTTAATGTTGATTATCTGCATAGGGAATCAATTATATTAGGGTATTTTATGACCAAAAGGCTAGTTTAGCTAGTGCATTCTCAGAAAGTAGCCTGGAAACTCCAGACCAATTTAACAAACAAATTTTTTGGAGCAATGCTTCATTTAAACCCAATTTACATTCAGCTGTGCATATATTTGTATACATGTACTTTAATACAGGACACGCATAGGCACTCAACTAGGATGTAATTGGGCTTGCATGCACTTTCTTGCAAAAATCATACATACTAGTTAACATTTAGAATTAGTAAAATTTAGTGCTTTCAGATTGTGGTTAAAAGTACCCCCATCTTTCCTTAAAATACATATGGCAGATTCCATATAAGAAATTGAAATGTCTGTCAAAATGAATAAATAAATAAAAATAATAATTACTGTTATTTCAAAGATAATCTGTGAATGTTTTGAGGAATAATGATGTTAGAAGAAATTATAAAAATAATTTTTGGATATGATTGTTTCCGTTTAAAGTAGAAATGATTAAAACAAGTTGAAAAAATGCAAAAATTTTGACAGAATTAACTCCCATTGTTTTACACAATGTTTATGTATTGCAATGCTTTATGTTGACACTTGTATACTGGTATTTACTAGTGTAGTCTGGTTATTCAAACATCCCTGTTCCCAAATTTGTTACTTTTTTTAGTCAAAAACATCTGTGATATATGTTTTTTTTCACTTTCAAATATCTTGCTTTATAGCTCAGTGTCTGTCAATAAATCTTATGTCAGGAACATCGCTGTAAAAACTTTCAAAATCATTGTAGGTTCCAATATATGCCAGTTAAAACTGTAAGTCATGCTGTGCATAAGAAAAAACACATGTTGATTCTTTCATTTAACTTTATTCAAGCAATAGTTTTAACTAATATGTTTCCTACATAAGATCTGTCAAACTTGTTGTCTTATGTCTGAAACATTTGAATGTGCTAACAGTTAAAGTTCTTTGACCTGTAGTGAAATCTTGTTAGATATTAGGCTGCAGTATTTTCCAGGAGTTTTAAAAATGACTTTCAACTAGGATTTGATTTCCAATGTCAGTCAAAAAAAACAAATATATATTGTCTGTCAAAATATCTTATGTATGAAAAATCTTATGTCAGAATCAAGTCTGTCAAAATCTTATGTCAGAAACTCAATTTGTCTGTCAAATATTATGTCAGAAATAATAAAATCTGTCAAATCTTATGTCAGAAATAATAAAGTCTGTCAAATCTTATGTCAGAAAAAATAAAGTCTGTCAAATCTTATGTCAGAAACAATAAAGTCTGTCAAATCTTATGTCAGAAACATAATATTTAAGGCTTCGTTTATTTAAAAAGGATGATGCTCATAATTTTTTTTTTGGTCAAATTGTCTTTATCTTTATAAGTAAAGCATGTATTCAAAAACAGAATTTCATTGCTTATGATTTTTGCCTAACGTGCTTATGGGAGTTGTTTCACTTTCTTATATGGAATCTGCCATAATACATTTATGGAACAGTAATTTTGCACACTGTTGAAGCATGTTTTGTTTAAATACTATATACAGATATATATCTACCTGTTTGTGTACATATGTTCATAATGGATTCAGTTTCTTCATGTTCCTGACAATGATCTTTCAAGCCAAAAGGATCCAAATCTTCATCTGCATAAAAAAAAAAAACTTGTGCCAAATAAAATTATATGCGTGGTTCCAGTTACATTCTCAAAAAAAGATACGGTCCGTATGTTGGCATTGTTTTTTGGGATTATCAAAATCCAGAAAAAAAATCATGTGTTCACGGAGTCTGTTCTGGTATTGTACACACCCCTACAGTTTAAAAATAATCAGACATGTTACGTTTTTTAGTTAATTTTGTTGCATTCTGTTAAGAATTTGTTGCATTTTAAGCCTTAGTTGATAATTTTATTGGAAATTCATATGACAGAAGTCTGTGAATTTAATTATTGAAATTCACATTCCATAAAATGGGATCGTTCAAAATTTGTTTTACAGAATTAAAAAAAAGGTTCTAGGGTGGGTCTGGTAACTGGAACCACACATATATATTTTTTTATTTTGCCTCGTTATTCTAACAGCAATCATGGCAATTGGTCATATTTTAATCGAGGTAGGTTTTGAAAATTAGAATCAAAATGAAGGCAATAGTATGTGATTTAAAAAGAATTTTTGTTTCTGATTGTTGTTAACATATAGTTCATTTTTTATGCCAGCACCGAAGCTGAGGGGGCATTAAGTGTTGTCCATCTGTATGTACATCCCAAAAGTGGTTACCATTTTTAACTTTGCCTCAACCAAATGTTTTAAAACTGATACACAATGCTAATTACCACAAAACACTGTTCAGCTTTGAATTTAAATGGCATCAATTTTACTGTTTGCATGTACTTTCTTGCAATCTCTTGAAAAATCATACATAAACATTTAGAATTAGTAGAAATTAGTGCTTTCAGACTGTGGTTAAAAGTACCCCCATCTTTCCTTTAAATACATAACACATAATTGGAACAGTAATTTTGCACACTGTTGAAGCATGTTTTGTTGGAATACTATATACAAATATATATTTACCTGTTTGTGTACATATGTTTATAATGGATTCAGTTTCTTCATGTTCCTGACAATCTTCCAAGCCAAAAGGATTCATATTTCCATCTGCATATCAAGAAAAAACATCAGCCAAATAAAAATGTATGTGTGGTTCCAGTTACATTCTCCAAAAAAGACAGGGTCAGTAGATCTGCATTTTTTTTTTTGGATTGTCAAAATCCGGAAAAAATATCGTTCTTTCACTGAGTCTGATTCTGGTATTATACACGCCCCAACCACAAGTTTGCCATTTTTTATATGTTTAGTTGTAAAATATGGACATGTTACATTTTTAGTTAATTTTGTTGCATTCTGTTATGAATTTGTTGCATTTTTAGCATTAGTAGATACTTTCATGGGAAATTCATATGACAGAAGCTTGTGAATTCAATTGTTGAAATTCACATTCAATTAAATGGGATCGTTCAAAATCTATTTTACAGAATTCAAAAAAAAGTTCTAGGGTACATTTGTAGGTCTGGTAACTGGAACCACACATATATTTTTATTTTACCTTAACTCTAACGGTAATCATGGCAATTGGTCATATTTTTATTGAGGTAGGTTTTGAAAATTAGTGTCAAAATGCAGGCAATCATATAGTTCATTTTTTATGCCAGCACCGAAGCTGAGGGGGCATGAAGTGTTGTCCATCTATATGTATGTACATCCCAAAAGTGGTTATCGTTTTTAATTTTAAGTTGCCTCGACAAAATGTTTTGAAACTTATATAAAATGCTAATTACCACAAAACACTGTTCCGCTTTGAATTTAAACTGCATCAATTAACTGTTTGTCCCTTTATAATGTTAATATATGCAAGCAGGGTCATCATCTGTGTCACATTCTCCATTTATTTTGAACAATTGCTTTTAGAGTCAGAACTAGGTACTGATGCCCCAACATTCCATTAGTTGATTTGTTTGTTGATGCATTTTTTGTCTTCATTTGGTTGTATTTTTCAAGCATTTTAAATCCAACAATCATCTTGACTCTCTCATACTGTTCAATAAAGACCTCATTCCGGGATTTTCCGTTGCAAGTCTTCTGTATTTTGTAAGACTTAACTTCTTCACCAGTTCCTAGAATTGTATCAACCAGTGTTGTTGTTATTTTGTCTGGAAAAAACGATTTATTGATTTATAACATTAAAGAAGACTAATGATCAGACTCAATGATTTGTAGATCAAACAGAGAGGTTTTTTTTATATTTTCTTGTTTAATGTTGATTATCTGCATAGGGAATCAATTATATTAGGGTATTTTATGACCAAAAGGCTAGTTTAGCTAGTGCATTCTCAGAAAGTAGCCTGGAAACTCCAGACCAATTTAACAAACAAATTTTTTGGAGCAATGCTTCATTTAAACCCAATTTACATTCAGCTGTGCATATATTTGTGTACATGTACTTTTATACAGGGCACGCATAGGCACTCAACTAGGATGCAATTGGGCTTGCATGCACTTTCTTGCAAAAATCATACATACTAGTTAACATTTAGAATTAGTAAAATTTAGTGCTTTCAGATTGTGGTTAAAAGTACCCCCATCTTTCCTTAAAATACATAATACATTAATGGAACAGTAATTTTGCACACTGTTGAAGCATGTTTTGTTTAAATACTATATACAGATATATATCTACCTGTTTGTGAACATATGTTCATAATGGATTCAGTTTCTTCATGTTCCTGACAATCTTTCAAGCCAAAAGGATCCAAATCTTCATCTGCATAATAAAAAAAAACTTAGGCCAAATAAAAATATATGCGAAATTCCAGTTACATTCTCAAGAAAAGATACGGTCTGTAGGTTGGCATTGTTTTTTGGGATTATCAAAATCCATAAAAAAAAAATGTGTTCACAGAGTCCGATTCTGGTATTGTACACGTCCCTACAGCAAGTTTTCCATTTTCTATATTTTTCGGTTTTAAAATACACAGACATGTTATGTTTTTTAGTTAATTTTGTTGCATTCTGTTAAGAATTTGTTGCATTTTAAGCCTTAGTGGATAATTTTATTGGAAATTCATATGACAGAAGTCTGTGAATTTAATTATTGAAATTCACATTCCATAAAATGGGATCGTTCAAAATTTATTTTACAGAATTAAAAAAAGTTCTAGGGTGGGTCTGGTAACTGGAACCACACATATATATTTTTTTATTTTGCCTTGTTATTCTAACAGCAATCGACATGGCAATTGGTCATATTTTAATCGAGGTAGGTTTTGAAAATTTGAATCAAAATGAAGGCAATAGTATGTGATTTAAAAAGAATTTTTGTTTCTGATTGTTGTTAACATATAATTCATTTTTTATGCCAGCACCGAAGCTGAGGGGGCATTAAGTGTTGTCTATCTGTTTGTACATCCCAAAAGTGGTTACCATTTTTAACTTTGCCTCAACCAAATGTTTTAAAACTGATACACAATGCTAATTACCACAAAACACTGTTCAGCTTTGAATTTAAATGGCATCAATTTTACTGTTTGTCCCTTTATAATGTTATATGCAAGCAGGGTCATCATTTGTGTCACATTCTGCATTTATTTTGAACAATTGTTTTTAGAATCAGAACTAGGTACTGATGCTCTGACATTCCAGTAGTTGATTTGTTTGTTGATGCAGTGCATTTTTTGTCTTCATTTGGTGGTATTTTCCAAGCAGTTTAAATCCAACAATCATCTTGGCTCTCTCATACTGTTCAGTAAAAGACCTGTTTCCTGGATTTTCCGTCGCAAGTCTTCACTTTTAATTTCTTCACTGGTTCCTAGAATTGAATCCACCAGTCGTGTTGTTATTTTGTCTGGAAAAAACGATTTATTTATTTATAACATTAAAGAAGACTAATGATAAGACTCAATGATTTGTAGATCAAATAGAGTTTTTGTTTTATATATTTTTATGTTTCATGTTGATTATCTGGATAAGGAATTATTGTCTCATGGACACATTCTCCATTTATTTATTCTATAGCAAATTAGAACTATCAAAAAATAACAAGGATTTTATAAGATTTTCAAACATGGCTTTTTAAACTATATTTTATAAAATTATGAAAAGATAAGTAGGGGTTAGTGGGCAAAATTGTAATGGCACTTCATGGATAAAACCAGAGGATTCTGAATATCTGACAAAAAGTTAAAAAAAAAAAAAAAAAAAGAGCAATCATTCATTAGTATTAGTGTGTTTATGACACTTGGACAAAGACCATAACCATATATCCCCTGTGGTGCAAAGTAGACAAAAAAAATTCTGACCAATCTCTTAAAACTTTCAAGCCTAATGCACATTATATTCCTATCAATTTTTATTTTAAAATGAAAATAAAATTTGTTTTCAACAGAGGAATTATATACCTACTAATTTATGAAAAGTATAAGACCACCCAGTTTTACTCCCCATCCATGAAAACAGTCGCTGTAATAACCTAAAAAGGAATTAAAATTGACACAAATTATATGTTTTACGAAAGTGTTAAATTGTCAGCTAAAAAAAAATTGTTTTCTGACTTAAGATTTAGCATAACATCAATACCAGTTTAATATCTAAAAAAGCTGGAAAAACAAATGTTTCAACATAAATTTTTTTCTCAATAATCTATGAGTTATCTCCCATTGAATGACACATTCTTGCTGTTTGTTGTACTAGCCTCCCCCTGAAGGTGAAATCTGTCTCAGAATTTACTTTTCAAATGATATATTATTTTATTCATGTTACTGGAAACCAAATATCAAACTGATAAAATAACTTTCTTGGTACTTTGAATGTGGAAAATAAATGTTTGTTGTCGTATTTTCATAAAATTCTATGAAGATTTGACAAAGTAATTGATAACTGTAATATTTTAACCTTAAAATTATCTTAGTTGAAAACTGTGAAAAAAAGTCCATATATTACATCGGTTGCAATGAAGGACTGTGATTTCCAAGTTAAATAAAAATTGATAATTTCCCTACTCTTGATTTTATATACAGCAATGAGTGTGGCCAAAGACATTGTGGATGATGCCTGCATCAAAACAAAATTGAAATATGTAGAAAAAAATATTTCTTGTATTTTATTCTTAGAAAAATAAAAAATGATATTATGTTCATTCTGTATAAAAAAAAGCACAAGTTCATAAATATAAACGTTTTATTCCCCTAGATGAGAATTCAGCATCGATTTTACAATTGTAAAAACTAAATACCTACATCATCATTATCTGGTAACTTCAGGTCTAGGACTGTATGTTCCTCTGGGCTCCATCCGTCTGTAATGTTCCACTGGGCTTCATCCGTCTGTAATATAAACACGTCCACGGGACAGCCTGGCACGATGTAAATTACCTGCTCCTGGAATCTGTTACAAAAACAAAATAAGTTCAAAAATATTAAACCAAATATAAAACTTTTGAAAAATTTGCTTCTTTAGTTTTTACTTTTATTTTTGGCAGCTATCATTGATCAATTGTACTTTTTGACTATATTTCATTAACTATTTTCATTTTAAATCTATATTTCAATCAGTAATGAAGACGGTTTAATGATATAATCATTATTTCCGAAATTAATGTGCGTGTCAAATTATCAGAAGTTGGTGGCTAACCAAAAAATCTGATGTATACATTTTGAACAGAAATGATTAAAATTCAACTGAATTTCAAACAATCTAAATCAAGTCATATTTTCCAAATTACTTTAAAAAAAAATCGACTAAATACGTAGATATCCAAATTGACAATCAGAAACTTTACTTTCGTACAGGTGAGACTATTAGAGAAAGGGTTTCCAAATTGTCAATGTTATGAGACTATTTGCTGAAATTAATGTGATGCATGTTTTAATTCAAATCCTAAATTGGAGTACAAGTATACTTTTTTCATTAGAGTATAAATTTGAAAAAAAAATTTGGACTAATTTGTAATAAATTTTCAAGCTGTTTTTCCAGGGAAAACTGATTTTATTACCTTACAACTATTAACAGTTTAAGTACAATTGTAACGACAAAATACCTACATCATCATCTTGGCATCTACAATTTCATCATCTCCATGTCTAGGACTGTTCTGTCTTCTTCTTCTCTCTTGGCTCCCGTCTATCTGTAATACATATTCAAATTATTTTAATATCTATCAGACAACTATTAATAAATAAAAAAAAAAATATACTTACTTTCCGATGCATATGTTACCTGTCCTGATGTAAATATCCTGGGGCTGGTATCTGAAACAAAAACAAAATAAGTTCAAAAATATTGAACCAAATATAAAACTTAAAAAATTTGCTACTTTAATTTTTTTTTCTTTCAAAATATCTATAAAGAAAAACTGGCATTAATGGCAGCCATCATCATTGGTCAATTGCTCTTTTTGACTGTATATCATTAACTTATTTTCATTTTAAATCTATATTTCAATCAGTAATGAAGACGGTTTAATGATATAATCATTATTTCCGAAATTAATGTGCGTGTCAAATTATCAGAAGTTGGTGGCTAACCAAAACAATCTGATGTATACATTTTGAACAGAAATGATTAAAATTCAACTGAATTTCAAACAATCTAAATCAAGTCATATTTTCCAAATTACTTTTAAAAAATCGACTAAATATGTAGATATCCAAATTGACAATCGGAAACTTTACTTTCGTACAGGTGTGACTATTAGAGAAAGGGTTTCCAAATTGTCAATGTTAAGAGACTATTTGCTGTTAAAATTAATTCAGAAATTAATGTGATGCATGTTTTAATTCAAATCCTAAATTGGAGTACAAGTATACTTTTTTCATTAGAGTAAAAATTTGAAAAGAAATTTTGGACTAATTTGTAATAAATTTTCAAGCTGTTTTTCCAGGGAAAACTGATTTTATTACCTTACAACTATTAACAGTTTAAGTACAATTGTAACGACAAAATACCTACATCATCATCTTGGCATCTACAATTTAATCATCTCCATGTCTAGGACTGTTCTGTCTTCTTCTTCTCTCTTGGCTCCCGTCTATCTGTAATACATATTCAAATTATTTTAATATCTATCAGACAACTATTAATAAATAAAAAAAAAATATACTTACTTTCCGATGCATATGTTACCTGTCCTGATGTAAATATCCTGGGGCTGGTATCTGAAACAAAAACAAAATAAGTTCAAAAATATTGAACCAAATATAAAACTTAAAAAATTTGCTACTTTAATTTTTTTTTCTTTCAAAATATCTATAAAGAAAAACTGGCATTAATGGCAGCCATCATCATTGATCAATTGCTCTTTTTGACTGTATATCATTAACTTATTTTCATTTTAAATCTATATTTCAATCAGTAATGAAGACGGTTTAATGATATAATCATTATTTCCGAAATTAATGTGCGTGTCAAATTATCAGAAGTTGGTGGCTAACCAAAACAATCTGATGTATACATTTTGAACAGAAATGATTAAAATTCAACTGAATTTCAAACAATCTAAATCAAGTCATATTTTCCAAATTACTTTTAAAAAATCGACTAAATATGTAGATATCCAAATTGACAATCGGAAACTTTACTTTCGTACAGGTGTGACTATTAGAGAAAGGGTTTCCAAATTGTCAATGTTAAGAGACTATTTGCTGTTAAAAATAATTCAGAAATTAATGTGATGCATGTTTTAATTCAAATCCTAAATTGGAGTACAAGTATACTTTTTTCATTAGAGTATAAATTTGAAAAGAAATTTTGGACTAATTTGTAATAAATTTTCAAGCTGTTTTTCCAGGGAAAACTGATTTTATTACCTTACAACTATTAACAGTTAAAGTACAATTGTAACGACAAAATACCTACATCATCATCTTGGCATCTACAATTTCATCATCTCCATGTCTAGGACTGTTCTGTCTTCTTCTTCTCCCTTGGCTCCCGTCTATCTGTAATACATATTCAAATTATTTTAATATCTATCAGACAACTATTAATAAATAAAAAAAAATATACTTACTTTCCGATGCATATGTTACCTGTCCTGATGTAAATATCCTGGGGCTGGTATCTGAAACAAAAACAAAATAAGTTCAAAAATATTGAACCAAATATAAAACTTAAAAAATTTGCTACTTTAATTTTTTTTCTTTCAAAATATCTATAAAGAAAAACTGGCATTAATGGCAGCCATCATCATTGGTCAATTGCTCTTTTTGACTGTATATCATTAACTTATTTTCATTTTAAATCTATATTTCAATCAGTAATGAAGACGGTTTAATGATATAATCATTATTTCCGAAATTAATGTGCGTGTCAAATTATCAGAAGTTGGTGGCTAACCAAAACAATCTGATGTATACATTTTGAACAGAAATGATTAAAATTCAACTGAATTTCAAACAATCTAAATCAAGTCATATTTTCCAAATTACTTTTAAAAAATCGACTAAATATGTAGATATCCAAATTGACAATCGGAAACTTTACTTTCGTACAGGTGTGACTATTAGAGAAAGGGTTTCCAAATTGTCAATGTTAAGAGACTATTTGCTGTTAAAATTAATTCAGAAATTAATGTGATGCATGTTTTAATTCAAATCCTAAATTGGAGTACAAGTATACTTTTTTCATTAGAGTATAAATTTGAAAAGAAATTTTGGACTAATTTGTAATAAATTTTCAAGCTGTTTTTCCAGGGAAAACTGATTTTATTACCTTACAACTATTAACAGGTCAAGTACAATTGTAACGACAAAATACCTACATCATCATCTTGGCATCTACAATTTAATCATCTCCATGTCTAGGACTGTTCTGTCTTCTTCTTCTCTCTTGGCTCCCGTCTATCTGTAATACATATTCAAATTATTTTAATATCTATCAGACAACTATTAATAAATAAAAAAAAATATACTTACTTTCCGATGCATATGTTACCTGTCCTGATGTAAATATCCTGGGGCTGGTATCTGAAACAAAAACAAAATAAGTTCAAAAATATTGAACCAAATATAAAACTTAAAAAATTTGCTACTTTAATTTTTTTTTCTTTCAAAATATCTATAAAGAAAAACTGGCATTAATGGCAGCCATCATCATTGGTCAATTGCTCTTTTTGACTGTATATCATTAACTTATTTTCATTTTAAATCTATATTTCAATCAGTAATGAAGACGGTTTAATGATATAATCATTATTTCAGAAATTAATGTGCGTGTCAAATTATCAGAAGTTGGTGGCTAACCAAAACAATCTGATGTATACATTTTGAACAGAAATGATTAAAATTCAACTGAATTTCAAACAATCTAAATCAAGTCATATTTTCCAAATTACTTTTAAAAAATCGACTAAATATGTAGATATCCAAATTGACAATCGGAAACTTTACTTTCGTACAGGTGTGACTATTAGAGAAAGGGTTTCCAAATTGTCAATGTTAAGAGACTATTTGCTGTTAAAAATAATTCAGAAATTAATGGGATGCATGTTTTAATTCAAATCCTAAATTGGAGTACAAGTATACTTTTTTCATTAGAGTATAAATTTGAAAAGAAATTTTGGACTAATTTGTAATAAATTTTCAAGCTGTTTTTCCAGGGAAAACTGATTTTATTACCTTACAACTATTAACAGTTTAAGTACAATTGTAACGACAAAATACCTACATCATCATCTTGGCATCTACAATTTCATCATCTCCATGTCTAGGACTGTTCTGTCTTCTTCTTCTCCCTTGGCTCCCATCTATCTGTAATACATATTCAAATTATTTTAATATCTATCAGACAACTATTAATAAATAAAAAAAAATATACTTACTTTCGGATGCATATGTTACCTGTCCTGATGTAAATATCCTGGGGCTGGTATCTGAAACAAAAACAAAATAAGTTCAAAAATATTGAACCAAATATAAAACTTAAAAAATTTGCTACTTTAATTTTTTTTTCTTTCAAAATATCTATAAAGAAAAACTGGCATTAATGGCAGCCATCATCATTGGTCAATTGCTCTTTTTGACTGTATATCATTAACTTATTTTCATTTTAAATCTATATTTCAATCAGTAATGAAGACGGTTTAATGATATAATCATTATTTCCGAAATTAATGTGCGTGTCAAATTATCAGAAGTTGGTGGCTAACCAAAACAATCTGATGTATACATTTTGAACAGAAATGATTAAAATTCAACTGAATTTCAAACAATCTGAATCAAGTCATATTTTCCAAATTACTTTTAAAAAATTGACTAAATATGTAGATATCCAAATTGACAATCGGAAACTTTACTTTCGTACAGGTGTGACTATTAGAGAAAGGGTTTCCAAATTGTCAATGTTATGAGACTATTTGCTGAAATTAATGTGATGCATGTTTTAATTCAAATCCTAAATTGGAGTACAAGTATACTTTTTTCATTAGAGTAAAAATTTGAAAAGAAATTTTGGACTGATTTGTAATAAATTTTCAAGCTGTTTTTCCAGGGAAAACTGATTTTATTACCTTACAACTATTAACAGTTTAAGTACAATTGTAACGACAAAATACCTACATCATCATCTTGGCATCTACAATTTAATCATCTCCATGTCTAGGACTGTTCTGTCTTCTTCTTCTCTCTTGGCTCCCGTCTATCTGTAATACATATTCAAATTATTTTAATATCTATCAGACAACTATTAATAAATAAAAAAAAAATATACTTACTTTCCGATGCATATGTTACCTGTCCTGATGTAAATATCCTGGGGCTGGTATCTGAAACAAAAACAAAATAAGTTCAAAAATATTGAACCAAATATAAAACTTAAAAAATTTGCTACTTTAATTTTTTTTTCTTTCAAAATATCTATAAAGAAAAACTGGCATTAATGGCAGCCATCATCATTGATCAATTGCTCTTTTTGACTGTATATCATTAACTTATTTTCATTTTAAATCTATATTTCAATCAGTAATGAAGACGGTTTAATGATATAATCATTATTTCCGAAATTAATGTGCGTGTCAAATTATCAGAAGTTGGTGGCTAACCAAAACAATCTGATGTATACATTTTGAACAGAAATGATTAAAATTCAACTGAATTTCAAACAATCTAAATCAAGTCATATTTTCCAAATTACTTTTAAAAAATCGACTAAATATGTAGATATCCAAATTGACAATCGGAAACTTTACTTTCGTACAGGTGTGACTATTAGAGAAAGGGTTTCCAAATTGTCAATGTTAAGAGACTATTTGCTGTTAAAATTAATTCAGAAATTAATGTGATGCATGTTTTAATTCAAATCCTAAATTGGAGTACAAGTATACTTTTTTCATTAGAGTAAAAATTTGAAAAGAAATTTTGGACTGATTTGTAATAAATTTTCAAGCTGTTTTTCCAGGGAAAACTGATTTTATTACCTTACAACTATTAACAGTTTAAGTACAATTGTAACGACAAAATACCTACATCATCATCTTGGCATCTACAATTTAATCATCTCCATGTCTAGGACTGTTCTGTCTTCTTCTTCTCTCTTGGCTCCCGTCTATCTGTAATACATATTCAAATTATTTTAATATCTATCAGACAACTATTAATAAATAAAAAAAAAATATACTTACTTTCCGATGCATATGTTACCTGTCCTGATGTAAATATCCTGGGGCTGGTATCTGAAACAAAAACAAAATAAGTTCAAAAATATTGAACCAAATATAAAACTTAAAAAATTTGCTACTTTAATTTTTTTTTCTTTCAAAATATCTATAAAGAAAAACTGGCATTAATGGCAGCCATCATCATTGATCAATTGCTCTTTTTGACTGTATATCATTAACTTATTTTCATTTTAAATCTATATTTCAATCAGTAATGAAGACGGTTTAATGATATAATCATTATTTCCGAAATTAATGTGCGTGTCAAATTATCAGAAGTTGGTGGCTAACCAAAACAATCTGATGTATACATTTTGAACAGAAATGATTAAAATTCAACTGAATTTCAAACAATCTAAATCAAGTCATATTTTCCAAATTACTTTTAAAAAATCGACTAAATATGTAGATATCCAAATTGACAATCGGAAACTTTACTTTCGTACAGGTGTGACTATTAGAGAAAGGGTTTCCAAATTGTCAATGTTAAGAGACTATTTGCTGTTAAAATTAATTCAGAAATTAATGTGATGCATGTTTTAATTCAAATCCTAAATTGGAGTACAAGTATACTTTTTTCATTAGAGTATAAATTTGAAAAGAAATTTTGGACTAATTTGTAATAAATTTTCAAGCTGTTTTTCCAGGGAAAACTGATTTTATTACCTTACAACTATTAACAGGTCAAGTACAATTGTAACGACAAAATACCTACATCATCATCTTGGCATCTACAATTTAATCATCTCCATGTCTAGGACTGTTCTGTCTTCTTCTTCTCTCTTGGCTCCCATCTATCTGTAATACATATTCAAATTATTTTAATATCTATCAGACAACTATTAATAAATAAAAAAAAATATACTTACTTTCCGATGCATATGTTACCTGTCCTGATGTAAATATCCTGGGGCTGGTATCTGAAACAAAAACAAAATAAGTTCAAAAATATTGAACCAAATATAAAACTTAAAAAATTTGCTACTTTAATTTTTTTTCCTTTCAAAATATCTATAAAGAAAAACTGGCATTAATGGCAGCCATCATCATTGGTCAATTGCTCTTTTTGACTGTATATCATTAACTTATTTTCATTTTAAATCTATATTTTAATCAGTAATGAAGACGGTTTAATGATATAATCATTATTTCCGAAATTAATGTGCGTGTCAAATTATCAGAAGTTGGTGGCTAACCAAAACAATCTGATGTATACATTTTGAACAGAAATGATTAAAATTCAACTGAATTTCAAACAATCTAAATCAAGTCATATTTTCCAAATTACTTTTAAAAAATCGACTAAATATGTAGACATCCAAATTGACAATCGGAAACTTTACTTTCGTACAGGTGTGACTATTAGAGAAAGGGTTTTCAAATTGTCAATGTTAAGAGACTATTTGCTGTTAAAATTAATTCAGAAATTAATGTGATGCATGTTTTAATTCAAATCCTAAATTGGAGTACAAGTATACTTTTTTCATTAGAGTATAAATTTGAAAAGAAATTTTGGACTAATTTGTAATAAATTTTCAAGCTGTTTTTCCAGGGAAAACTGATTTTATTACCTTACAACTATTAACAGTTTAAGTACAATTGTAACGACAAAATACCTACATCATCATCTTGGCATCTACAATTTAATCATCTCCATGTCTAGGACTGTTCTGTCTTCTTCTTCTCTCTTGGCTCCCATCTATCTGTAATACATATTCAAATTATTTTAATATCTATCAGACAACTATTAATAAATAAAAAAAAATATACTTACTTTCCGATGCATATGTTACCTGTCCTGATGTAAATATCCTGGGGCTGGTATCTGAAACAAAAACAAAATAATTTCAAAAATATTGAACCAAATATAAAACTTAAAAAATTTGCTACTTTAATTTTTTTTCCTTTCAAAATATCTATAAAGAAAAACTGGCATTAATGGCAGCCATCATCATTGGTCAATTGCTCTTTTTGACTGTATATCATTAACTTATTTTCATTTTAAATCTATATTTCAATCAGTAATGAAGACGGTTTAATGATATAATCATTATTTCCGAAATTAATGTGCATGTCAAATTATCAGAAGTTGGTGGCTCACCAAAACAATCTGATGTATACATTTTGAACAGAAATGATTAAAATTCAACTGAATTTCAAACAATCTAAATCAAGTCATATTTTCCAAATTACTTTTAAAAAATCGACTAAATATCTAGACATCCAAATTGACAATCGGAAACTTTACTTTCGTACAGGTGTGACTATTAGAGAAAGGGTTTTCAAATTGTCAATGTTAAGAGACTATTTGCTGTTAAAATTAATTCAGAAATTAATGTGATGCATGTTTTAATTCAAATCCTAAATTGGAGTACAAGTATACTTTTTTCATTAGAGTATAAATTTGAAAAGAAATTTTGGACTAATTTGTAATAAATTTTCAAGCTGTTTTTCCAGGGAAAACTGATTTTATTACCTTACAACTATTAACAGTTTAAGTACAATTGTAACGACAAAATACCTACATCATCAGCTTGGTATCTACAATTTAATCATCTCCATGTCTAGGACTGTTCTGTCTTCTTCTTCTCTCTTGGCTCCCGTCTATCTGTAATACATATTCAAATTATTTTAATATCTATCAGACAACTATTAATAAATAAAAAAAAATATACTTACTTTCCGATGCATATGTTACCTGTCCTGATGTAAATATCCTGGGGCTGGTATCTGAAACAAAAACAAAATAAGTTCAAAAATATTGAACCAAATATAAAACTTAAAAAATTTGCTACTTTAATTTTTTTTTCTTTCAAAATATCTATAAAGAAAAACTGGCATTAATGGCAGCCATCATCATTGGTCAATTGCTCTTTTTGACTGTATATCATTAACTTATTTTCATTTTAAATCTATATTTCAATCAGTAATGAAGACGGTTTAATGATATAATCATTATTTCCGAAATTAATGTGCATGTCAAATTATCAGAAGTTGGTGGCTCACCAAAACAATCTGATGTATACATTTTGAACAGAAATGATTAAAATTCAACTGAATTTCAAACAATCTAAATCAAGTCATATTTTCCAAATTACTTTTAAAAAATCTACTAAATATGTAGACATCCAAATTGACAATCGGAAACTTTACTTTCGTACAGGTGTGACTATTAGAGAAAGGGTTTTCAAATTGTCAATGTTAAGAGACTATTTGCTGTTAAAATTAATTCAGAAATTAATGTGATGCATGTTTTAATTCAAATCCTAAATTGGAGTACAAGTATACTTTTTTCATTAGAGTATAAATTTGAAAAGAAATTTTGGACTAATTTGTAATAAATTTTCAAGCTGTTTTTCCAGGGAAAACTGATTTTATTACCTTACAACTATTAACAGTTTAAGTACAATTGTAACGACAAAATACCTACATCATCATCTTGGCATCTACAATTTAATCATCTCCATGTCTAGGACTGTTCTGTCTTCTTCTTCTCTCTTGGCTCCCGTCTATCTGTAATACATATTCAAATTATTTTAATATCTATCAGACAACTATTAATAAATAAAAAAAAATATACTTACTTTCCGATGCATATGTTACCTGTCCTGATGTAAATATCCTGGGGCTGGTATCTGAAACAAAAACAAAATAAGTTCAAAAATATTGAACCAAATATAAAACTTAAAAAATTTGCTACTTTAATTTTTTTTTCTTTCAAAATATCTATTAAGAAAAACTGGCATTAATGGCAGCCATCATCATTGGTCAATTGCTCTTTTTGACTGTATATCATTAACTTATTTTCATTTTAAATCTATATTTCAATCAGTAATGAAGACGGTTTAATGATATAATCATTATTTCCGAAATTAATGTGCATGTCAAATTATCAGAAGTTGGTGGCTCACCAAAACAATCTGATGTATACATTTTGAACAGAAATGATTAAAATTCAACTGAATTTCAAACAATCTAAATCAAGTCATATTTTCCAAATTACTTTTAAAAAATCGACTAAATATGTAGATATCCAAATTGACAATCGGAAACTTTACTTTCGTACAGGTGTGACTATTAGAGAAAGGGTTTCCAAATTGTCAATGTTAAGAGACTATTTGCTGTTAAAATTAATTCAGAAATTAATGTGATGCATGTTTTAATTCAAATCCTAAATTGGAGTACAAGTATACTTTTTTCATTAGAGTATAAATTTGAAAAGAAATTTTGGACTAATTTGTAATAAATTTTCAAGCTGTTTTTCCAGGGAAAAACTGATTTTATTACCTTACAACTATAAACAGTTTAAGTACAATTGTAACGACAAAATACCTACATCATCAGCTTGGTATCTACAATTTAATCATCTCCATGTCTAGGACTGTTCTGTCTTCTTCTTCTCTCTTGGCTCCCGTCTATCTGTAATACATATTCAAATTATTTTAATATCTATCAGACAACTATTAATAAATAAAAAAAAATATACTTACTTTCCGATGCATATGTTACCTGTCCTGATGTAAATATCCTGGGGCTGGTATCTGAAACAAAAACAAAATAAGTTCAAAAATATTGAACCAAATATAAAACTTAAAAAATTTGCTACTTTAATTTTTTTTTCTTTCAAAATATCTATTAAGAAAAACTGGCATTAATGGCAGCCATCATCATTGGTCAATTGCTCTTTTAGACTGTATATCATTAACTTATTTTCATTTTAAATCTATATTTCAATCAGTAATGAAGACGGTTTAATGATATAATCATTATTTCCGAAATTAATGTGCATGTCAAATTATCAGAAGTTGGTGGCTCACCAAAACAATCTGATGTATACATTTTGAACAGAAATGATTAAAATTCAACTGAATTTCAAACAATCTAAATCAAGTCATATTTTCCAAATTACTTTTAAAAAATCGACTAAATATGTAGATATCCAAATTGACAATCGGAAACTTTACTTTCGTACAGGTGTGACTATTAGAGAAAGGGTTTCCAAATTGTCAATGTTAAGAGACTATTTGCTGTTAAAATTAATTCAGAAATTAATGTGATGCATGTTTTAATTCAAATCCTAAATTGGAGTACAAGTATACTTTTTTCATTAGAGTATAAATTTGAAAAGAAATTTTGGACTAATTTGTAATAAATTTTCAAGCTGTTTTTCCAGGGAAAAACTGATTTTATTACCTTACAACTATAAACAGTTTAAGTACAATTGTAACGACAAAATACCTACATCATCAGCTTGGTATCTACAATTTAATCATCTCCATGTCTAGGACTGTTCTGTCTTCTTCTTCTCTCTTGGCTCCCGTCTATCTGTAATACATATTCAAATTATTTTAATATCTATCAGACAACTATTAATAAATAAAAAAAAATATACTTACTTTCCGATGCATATGTTACCTGTCCTGATGTAAATATCCTGGGGCTGGTATCTGAAACAAAAACAAAATAAGTTCAAAAATATTGAACCAAATATAAAACTTAAAAAATTTGCTACTTTAATTTTTTTTTCTTTCAAAATATCTATTAAGAAAAACTGGCATTAATGGCAGCCATCATCATTGGTCAATTGCTCTTTTTGACTGTATATCATTAACTTATTTTCATTTTAAATCTATATTTCAATCAGTAATGAAGACGGTTTAATGATATAATCATTATTTCCGAAATTAATGTGCATGTCAAATTATCAGAAGTTGGTGGCTCACCAAAACAATCTGATGTATACATTTTGAACAGAAATGATTAAAATTCAACTGAATTTCAAACAATCTAAATCAAGTCATATTTTCCAAATTACTTTTAAAAAATCGACTAAATATGTAGACATCCAAATTGACAATCGGAAACTTTACTTTCGTACAGGTGTGACTATTAGAGAAAGGGTTTTCAAATTGTCAATGTTAAGAGACTATTTGCTGTTAAAATTAATTCAGAAATTAATGTGATGCATGTTTTAATTCAAATCCTAAATTGGAGTACAAGTATACTTTTTTCATTAGAGTATAAATTTGAAAAGAAATTTTGGACTAATTTGTAATAAATTTTCAAGCTGTTTTTCCAGGGAAAAACTGATTTTATTACCTTACAACTATAAACAGTTTAAGTACAATTGTAACGACAAAATACCTACATCATCAGCTTGGTATCTACAATTTAATCATCTCCATGTCTAGGACTGTTCTGTCTTCTTCTTCTCTCTTGGCTCCCGTCTATCTGTAATACATATTCAAATTATTTTAATATCTATCAGACAACTATTAATAAATAAAAAAAAATATACTTACTTTCCGATGCATATGTTACCTGTCCTGATGTAAATATCCTGGGGCTGGTATCTGAAACAAAAACAAAATAAGTTCAAAAATATTGAACCAAATATAAAACTTAAAAAATTTGCTACTTTAATTTTTTTTTCTTTCAAAATATCTATTAAGAAAAACTGGCATTAATGGCAGCCATCATCATTGGTCAATTGCTCTTTTTGACTGTATATCATTAACTTATTTTCATTTTAAATCTATATTTCAATCAGTAATGAAGACGGTTTAATGATATAATCATTATTTCCGAAATTAATGTGCATGTCAAATTATCAGAAGTTGGTGGCTCACCAAAACAATCTGATGTATACATTTTGAACAGAAATGATTAAAATTCAACTGAATTTCAAACAATCTAAATCAAGTCATATTTTCCAAATTACTTTTAAAAAATCGACTAAATATGTAGACATCCAAATTGACAATCGGAAACTTTACTTTCGTACAGGTTTGACTATTAGAGAAAGGGTTTTCAAATTGTCAATGTTAAGAGACTATTTGCTGTTAAAATTAATTCAGAAATTAATGTGATGCATGTTTTAATTCAAATCCTAAATTGGAGTACAAGTATACTTTTTTCATTAGAGTATAAATTTGAAAAGAAATTTTGGACTAATTTGTAATAAATTTTCAAGCTGTTTTTCCAGGGAAAACTGATTTTATTACCTTACAACTATTAACAGTTTAAGTACAATTGTAACGACAAAATACCTACATCATCAGCTTGGTATCTACAATTTAATCATCTCCATGTCTAGGACTGTTCTGTCTTCTTCTTCTCTCTTGGCTCCCGTCTATCTGTAATACATATTCAAATTATTTTAATATCTATCAGACAACTATTAATAAATAAAAAAAAATATACTTACTTTCCGATGCATATGTTACCTGTCCTGATGTAAATATCCTGGGGCTGGTATCTGAAACAAAAACAAAATAAGTTCAAAAATATTGAACCAAATATAAAACTTAAAAAATTTGCTACTTTAATTTTTTTTTCTTTCAAAATATCTATAAAGAAAAACTGGCATTAATGGCAGCCATCATCATTGGTCAATTGCTCTTTTTGACTGTATATCATTAACTTATTTTCATTTTAAATCTATATTTCAATCAGTAATGAAGACGGTTTAATGATATAATCATTATTTCCGAAATTAATGTGCATGTCAAATTATCAGAAGTTGGTGGCTCACCAAAACAATCTGATGTATACATTTTGAACAGAAATGATTAAAATTCAACTGAATTTCAAACAATCTAAATCAAGTCATATTTTCCAAATTACTTTTAAAAAATCGACTAAATATGTAGACATCCAAATTGACAATCGGAAACTTTACTTTCGTACAGGTGTGACTATTAGAGAAAGGGTTTTCAAATTGTCAATGTTAAGAGACTATTTGCTGTTAAAATTAATTCAGAAATTAATGTGATGCATGTTTTAATTCAAATCCTAAATTGGAGTACAAGTATACTTTTTTCATTAGAGTATAAATTTGAAAAGAAATTTTGGACTAATTTGTAATAAATTTTCAAGCTGTTTTTCCAGGGAAAACTGATTTTATTACCTTACAACTATTAACAGTTTAAGTACAATTGTAACGACAAAATACCTACATCATCATCTTGGCATCTACAATTTAATCATCTCCATGTCTAGGACTGTTCTGTCTTCTTCTTCTCTCTTGGCTCCCGTCTATCTGTAATACATATTCAAATTATTTTAATATCTATCAGACAACTATTAATAAATAAAAAAAAATATACTTACTTTCCGATGCATATGTTACCTGTCCTGATGTAAATATCCTGGGGCTGGTATCTGAAACAAAAACAAAATAAGTTCAAAAATATTGAACCAAATATAAAACTTAAAAAATTTGCTACTTTAATTTTTTTTTCTTTCAAAATATCTATAAAGAAAAACTGGCATTAATGGCAGCCATCATCATTGGTCAATTGCTCTTTTTGACTGTATATCATTAACTTATTTTCATTTTAAATCTATATTTCAATCAGTAATGAAGACGGTTTAATGATATAATCATTATTTCCGAAATTAATGTGCATGTCAAATTATCAGAAGTTGGTGGCTCACCAAAACAATCTGATGTATACATTTTGAACAGAAATGATTAAAATTCAACTGAATTTCAAACAATCTAAATCAAGTCATATTTTCCAAATTACTTTTAAAAAATCGACTAAATATCTAGACATCAAAATTGACAATCGGAAACTTTACTTTCGTACAGGTGTGACTATTAGAGAAAGGGTTTTCAAATTGTCAATGTTAAGAGACTGTTTGCTGTTAAAATTAATTCAGAAATTAATGTGATGCATGTTTTAATTCAAATCCTAAATTGGAGTACAAGTATACTTTTTTCATTAGAGTATAAATTTGAAATGAAATTTTGGACTAATTTGTAATAAATTTTCAAGCTGTTTTTCCAGGGAAAACTGATTTTATTACCTTACAACTATTAACAGTTTAAGTACAATTGTAACGACAAAATACCTACATCATCATCTTGGCATCTACAATTTAATCATCTCCATGTCTAGGACTGTTCTGTCTTCTTCTTCTCTCTTGGCTCCCGTCTATCTGTAATACATATTCAAATTATTTTAATATCTATCAGACAACTATTAATAAATAAAAAAAAATATACTTACTTTCCGATGCATATGTTACCTGTCCTGATGTAAATATCCTGGGGCTGGTATCTGAAACAAAAACAAAATAAGTTCAAAAATATTGAACCAAATATAAAACTTAAAAAATTTGCTACTTTAATTTTTTTTTCTTTCAAAATATCTATAAAGAAAAACTGGCATTAATGGCAGCCATCATCATTGGTCAATTGCTCTTTTTGACTGTATATCATTAACTTATTTTCATTTTAAATCTATATTTCAATCAGTAATGAAGACGGTTTAATGATATAATCATTATTTCCGAAATTAATGTGCATGTCAAATTATCAGAAGTTGGTGGCTCACCAAAACAATCTGATGTATACATTTTGAACAGAAATGATTAAAATTCAACTGAATTTCAAACAATCTAAATCAAGTCATATTTTCCAAATTACTTTTAAAAAATCGACTAAATATCTAGACATCCAAATTGACAATCGGAAACTTTACTTTCGTACAGGTGTGACTATTAGAGAAAGGGTTTTCAAATTGTCAATGTTAAGAGACTATTTGCTGTTAAAATTAATTCAGAAATTAATGTGATGCATGTTTTAATTCAAATCCTAAATTGGAGTACAAGTATACTTTTTTCATTAGAGTATAAATTTGAAAAGAAATTTTGGACTAATTTGTAATAAATTTTCAAGCTGTTTTTCCAGGGAAAACTGATTTTATTACCTTACAACTATTAACAGTTTAAGTACAATTGTAACGACAAAATACCTACATCATCATCTTGGCATCTACAATTTAATCATCTCCATGTCTAGGACTGTTCTGTCTTCTTCTTCTCTCTTGGCTCCCGTCTATCTGTAATACATATTCAAATTATTTTAATATCTATCAGACAACTATTAATAAATAAAAAAAAATATACTTACTTTCCGATGCATATGTTACCTGTCCTGATGTAAATATCCTGGGGCTGGTATCTGAAACAAAAACAAAATAAGTTCAAAAATATTGAACCAAATATAAAACTTAAAAAATTTGCTACTTTAATTTTTTTTTCTTTCAAAATATCTATAAAGAAAAACTGGCATTAATGGCAGCCATCATCATTGGTCAATTGCTCTTTTTGACTGTATATCATTAACTTATTTTCATTTTAAATCTATATTTCAATCAGTAATGAAGACGGTTTAATGATATAATCATTATTTCCGAAATTAATGTGCATGTCAAATTATCAGAAGTTGGTGGCTCACCAAAACAATCTGATGTATACATTTTGAACAGAAATGATTAAAATTCAACTGAATTTCAAACAATCTAAATCAAGTCATATTTTCCAAATTACTTTTAAAAAATCGACTAAATATCTAGACATCCAAATTGACAATCGGAAACTTTACTTTCGTACAGGTGTGACTATTAGAGAAAGGGTTTTCAAATTGTCAATGTTAAGAGACTATTTGCTGTTAAAATTAATTCAGAAATTAATGTGATGCATGTTTTAATTCAAATCCTAAATTGGAGTACAAGTATACTTTTTTCATTAGAGTATAAATTTGAAAAGAAATTTTGGACTAATTTGTAATAAATTTTCAAGCTGTTTTTCCAGGGAAAACTGATTTTATTACCTTACAACTATTAACAGTTTAAGTACAATTGTAACGACAAAATACCTACATCATCATCTTGGCATCTACAATTTAATCATCTCCATGTCTAGGACTGTTCTGTCTTCTTCTTCTCTCTTGGCTCCCGTCTATCTGTAATACATATTCAAATTATTTTAATATCTATCAGACAACTATTAATAAATAAAAAAAAATATACTTACTTTCCGATGCATATGTTACCTGTCCTGATGTAAATATCCTGGGGCTGGTATCTGAAACAAAAACAAAATAAGTTCAAAAATATTGAACCAAATATAAAACTTAAAAAATTTGCTACTTTAATTTTTTTTTCTTTCAAAATATCTATAAAGAAAAACTGGCATTAATGGCAGCCATCATCATTGGTCAATTGCTCTTTTTGACTGTATATCATTAACTTATTTTCATTTTAAATCTATATTTCAATCAGTAATGAAGACGGTTTAATGATATAATCATTATTTCCGAAATTAATGTGCATGTCAAATTATCAGAAGTTGGTGGCTCACCAAAACAATCTGATGTATACATTTTGAACAGAAATGATTAAAATTCAACTGAATTTCAAACAATCTAAATCAAGTCATATTTTCCAAATTACTTTTAAAAAATCGACTAAATATCTAGACATCCAAATTGACAATCGGAAACTTTACTTTCGTACAGGTGTGACTATTAGAGAAAGGGTTTTCAAATTGTCAATGTTAAGAGACTATTTGCTGTTAAAATTAATTCAGAAATTAATGTGATGCATGTTTTAATTCAAATCCTAAATTGGAGTACAAGTATACTTTTTTCATTAGAGTATAAATTTGAAAAGAAATTTTGGACTAATTTGTAATAAATTTTCAAGCTGTTTTTCCAGGGAAAACTGATTTTATTACCTTACAACTATTAACAGTTTAAGTACAATTGTAACGACAAAATACCTACATCATCATCTTGGCATCTACAATTTAATCATCTCCATGTCTAGGACTGTTCTGTCTTCTTCTTCTCTCTTGGCTCCCGTCTATCTGTAATACATATTCAAATTATTTTAATATCTATCAGACAACTATTAATAAATAAAAAAAAATATACTTACTTTCCGATGCATATGTTACCTGTCCTGATGTAAATATCCTGGGGCTGGTATCTGAAACAAAAACAAAATAAGTTCAAAAATATTGAACCAAATATAAAACTTAAAAAATTTGCTACTTTAATTTTTTTTTCTTTCAAAATATCTATAAAGAAAAACTGGCATTAATGGCAGCCATCATCATTGGTCAATTGCTCTTTTTGACTGTATATCATTAACTTATTTTCATTTTAAATCTATATTTCAATCAGTAATGAAGACGGTTTAATGATATAATCATTATTTCCGAAATTAATGTGCATGTCAAATTATCAGAAGTTGGTGGCTCACCAAAACAATCTGATGTATACATTTTGAACAGAAATGATTAAAATTCAACTGAATTTCAAACAATCTAAATCAAGTCATATTTTCCAAATTACTTTTAAAAAATCGACTAAATATCTAGACATCCAAATTGACAATCGGAAACTTTACTTTCGTACAGGTGTGACTATTAGAGAAAGGGTTTTCAAATTGTCAATGTTAAGAGACTATTTGCTGTTAAAATTAATTCAGAAATTAATGTGATGCATGTTTTAATTCAAATCCTAAATTGGAGTACAAGTATACTTTTTTCATTAGAGTATAAATTTGAAAAGAAATTTTGGACTAATTTGTAATAAATTTTCAAGCTGTTTTTCCAGGGAAAACTGATTTTATTACCTTACAACTATTAACAGTTTAAGTACAATTGTAACGACAAAATACCTACATCATCATCTTGGCATCTACAATTTAATCATCTCCATGTCTAGGACTGTTCTGTCTTCTTCTTCTCTCTTGGCTCCCGTCTATCTGTAATACATATTCAAATTATTTTAATATCTATCAGACAACTATTAATAAATAAAAAAAAATATACTTACTTTCCGATGCATATGTTACCTGTCCTGATGTAAATATCCTGGGGCTGGTATCTGAAACAAAAACAAAATAAGTTCAAAAATATTGAACCAAATATAAAACTTAAAAAATTTGCTACTTTAATTTTTTTTTCTTTCAAAATATCTATAAAGAAAAACTGGCATTAATGGCAGCCATCATCATTGGTCAATTGCTCTTTTTGACTGTATATCATTAACTTATTTTCATTTTAAATCTATATTTCAATCAGTAATGAAGACGGTTTAATGATATAATCATTATTTCCGAAATTAATGTGCATGTCAAATTATCAGAAGTTGGTGGCTCACCAAAACAATCTGATGTATACATTTTGAACAGAAATGATTAAAATTCAACTGAATTTCAAACAATCTAAATCAAGTCATATTTTCCAAATTACTTTTAAAAAATCGACTAAATATCTAGACATCCAAATTGACAATCGGAAACTTTACTTTCGTACAGGTGTGACTATTAGAGAAAGGGTTTTCAAATTGTCAATGTTAAGAGACTATTTGCTGTTAAAATTAATTCAGAAATTAATGTGATGCATGTTTTAATTCAAATCCTAAATTGGAGTACAAGTATACTTTTTTCATTAGAGTATAAATTTGAAAAGAAATTTTGGACTAATTTGTAATAAATTTTCAAGCTGTTTTTCCAGGGAAAACTGATTTTATTACCTTACAACTATTAACAGTTTAAGTACAATTGTAACGACAAAATACCTACATCATCATCTTGGCATCTACAATTTAATCATCTCCATGTCTAGGACTGTTCTGTCTTCTTCTTCTCTTTTGGCTCCCGTCTATCTGTAATACATATTCAAATTATTTTAATATCTATCAGACAACTATTAATAAATAAAAAAAAATATACTTACTTTCCGATGCATATGTTACCTGTCCTGATGTAAATATCCTGGGGCTGGTATCTGAAACAAAAACAAAATAAGTTCAAAAATATTGAACCAAATATAAAACTTAAAAAATTTGCTACTTTAATTTTTTTTTCTTTCAAAATATCTATAAAGAAAAACTGGCATTAATGGCAGCCATCATCATTGGTCAATTGCTCTTTTTGACTGTATATCATTAACTTATTTTCATTTTAAATCTATATTTCAATCAGTAATGAAGACGGTTTAATGATATAATCATTATTTCCGAAATTAATGTGCATGTCAAATTATCAGAAGTTGGTGGCTCACCAAAACAATCTGATGTATACATTTTGAACAGAAATGATTAAAATTCAACTGAATTTCAAACAATCTAAATCAAGTCATATTTTCCAAATTACTTTTAAAAAATCGACTAAATATCTAGACATCCAAATTGACAATCGGAAACTTTACTTTCGTACAGGTGTGACTATTAGAGAAAGGGTTTTCAAATTGTCAATGTTAAGAGACTATTTGCTGTTAAAATTAATTCAGAAATTAATGTGATGCATGTTTTAATTCAAATCCTAAATTGGAGTACAAGTATACTTTTTTCATTAGAGTATAAATTTGAAAAGAAATTTTGGACTAATTTGTAATAAATTTTCAAGCTGTTTTTCCAGGGAAAACTGATTTTATTACCTTACAACTATTAACAGTTTAAGTACAATTGTAACGACAAAATACCTACATCATCATCTTGGCATCTACAATTTAATCATCTCCATGTCTAGGACTGTTCTGTCTTCTTCTTCTCTCTTGGCTCCCGTCTATCTGTAATACATATTCAAATTATTTTAATATCTATCAGACAACTATTAATAAATAAAAAAAAATATACTTACTTTCCGATGCATATGTTACCTGTCCTGATGTAAATATCCTGGGGCTGGTATCTGAAACAAAAACAAAATAAGTTCAAAAATATTGAACCAAATATAAAACTTAAAAAATTTGCTACTTTAATTTTTTTTTCTTTCAAAATATCTATAAAGAAAAACTGGCATTAATGGCAGCCATCATCATTGGTCAATTGCTCTTTTTGACTGTATATCATTAACTTATTTTCATTTTAAATCTATATTTCAATCAGTAATGAAGACGGTTTAATGATATAATCATTATTTCCGAAATTAATGTGCATGTCAAATTATCAGAAGTTGGTGGCTCACCAAAACAATCTGATGTATACATTTTGAACAGAAATGATTAAAATTCAACTGAATTTCAAACAATCTAAATCAAGTCATATTTTCCAAATTACTTTAAAAAAATCGACTAAATATGTAGATATCCAAATTGACAATCGGAAACTTTACTTTCGTACAGGTGTGACTATTAGAGAAAGGGTTTCCAAATTGTCAATGTTAAGAGACTATTTGCTGTTAAAATTAATTCAGAAATTAATGTGATGCATGTTTTAATTCAAATCCTAAATTGGAGTACAAGTATACTTTTTTCATTAGGGGACGACCATTTGATATTCTGGGGGGGCCAGGAGGATTTTGAAAATAAATAACTCAGCCTTGATAATCACAAAAATAAATGGTTTGTTCTGTGGTAGTTTGAAAATAAATGACCTGACTTGCAATGTATTGAAAATAAATAACTCAGCAGGTCTAATCGAAAGTATGAGATGGCACCAGATTCTTCATAAATTAATCTTTTTTCCAAAAAAAACAAATCGGGAAACACTTCCCATATCTTTTAATAATAAAAGTATAAATATTATTTAAATATACTTGAAATGTCAGAAAATTGGTTTCATTTAACTTGAGGTTAATTGTCTCAGGAACACTTACCTCACTTTTATTAAATCAGGGCCGTAACTACATTGGTACAATTGCCTCATGTAGGAAATTTCAAAACCAAACGCTTGTCTCCATATCAAATTGTGTTCACCGTGAGTGCCTTGCAAGAAGCAAGTTCTGTTCTCCCTCAGACATAGCCCCTGATTTTTCGGGATCAATATTTCTTATTTATTTGTCTTTTGTTCATTGATTGCCCTTCTGTATTCTTTTAGTGTTGCATTCATTTTGTAATTTAGTAATTTTATTATTAACTTGATCATGAGTTTAAAAAAACACAGCAGCCACAGACTTAACTATGTGAATTACATTTTTGCTTTTAATATCATGCATATTTGTCTTTTGATGTTGTTCCTAGAAACTTAAGTCTTACACTGAATCTATAACGTGATTTTGCTTTGAGACCAAAATATTGTCATAAAATTATTAAAACAGAACTTGCATTTTCAGTTTAAGAAAGGGTCTGGGGAACACCCAGAAGGCCTAATTTTGCATCATTTGTTCTATAGCTTCTTGGGCCTTCATCGGTTCAAAAACCCTTCAAAAAAAATTTTGCCTCGCTCCGCTCGGCGAAACACGTTTGCCAATACTTTTAGAAGAGCCTTACTTTCAACCAAACTTTAATACTGTGTATGTATGCAATACATGTATATGCATTGGGGGATATAAAAAGATTCATTTCTGCAGAGGATAATAATTAATTCTGATTAAATGGTACATAATGACTTGACTATACATGAATTATTTATAATAAACAAATAATTTAAAAATTGTATGTTTTCGAATATTATAAATATAGTTGTGAAAATAAATAATTAGTCCCTTGCTTTAATGAAAATGAAAAATCTTGCTTCAATAGTGCAGAAAATAGATAATCTGTCCTCTTAGTTTACAAAAATAAATAACCGATCCACAACAAATCCTCCTGGCCCCCCCCAGATTATCAAATGGTCGTCCCCTTAGAGTATAAATTTGAAAAGAAATTTTGGACTAATTTGTAATAAATTTTCAAGCTGTTTCTCCAGGGAAAACTGATTTTATTACCTTACAACTATTAACAGTTTAAGTACAATTGTAACGACAAAATACCTACATCATCATCTAGGCATCTACAATTTAATCATCTCCATGTCTAGGACTGTTCTGTCTTCTTCTTCTCTCTTGGCTCCCGTCTATCTGTAATACATATTCAAATTATTTTAATATCTATCAGACAACTATTAATAAATAAAAAAAAATATACTTACTTTCTGATGCATATGTTACCTGTCCTGATGTAAATATCCTGGGGCTGGTATCTGAAACAAAAACAAAATAAGTTCAAAAATATTGAACCAAATATAAAACTTAAAAAATTTGCTACTTTAATTTTTTTTTCTTTCAAAATATCTATAAAGAAAAACTGGCATTAATGGCAGCCGTCATCATTGGTCAATTGCTCTTATTGACTGTATATCATTAACTTATTTTCATTTTAAATCTATATTTCAATCAGTAATGAAGACGGTTTAATGATATAATCATTATTTCCGAAATTAATGTGCGTGTCAAATTATCAGAAGTTGGTGGCTAACCAAAACAATCTGATGTATACATTTTGAACAGAAATGATTAAAATTCAACTGAATTTCAAACAATCTAAATCAAGTCATATTTTCCAAATTACTTTTAAAAAATCGACTAAATATGTAGACATCCAAATTGACAATCGGAAACTTTACTTTCGTACAGGTGTGACTATTAGAGAAAGGGTTTTCAAATTGTCAATGTTAAGAGACTATTTGCTGTTAAAATTAATTCAGAAATTAATGTGATGCGTGTTTTAATTCAAATCCTTAATTGGAGTACAAGTTTACTTTTTTCATTAGAGTATAAATTTGAAAAGAAATTTTGGACTAATTTGTAATAAATTTTCAAGCTGTTTTTCCAGGGAAAACTGATTTTATTACCTTACAACTATTAACAGTTTAAGTACAATTGTAACGACAAAATACCTACATCATCATCTTGGCATCTACAATTTAATCATCTCCATGTCTAGGAATGTTCTGTCTTCTTCTTCTCGCTTGGCTCCTGTCTATCTGTAATACATATTCAAATTATTTTAATATCTATCAGACAACTATTAATAAATAAAAAAAAATATACTTACTTTCCGATGCATATGTTACCTGTCCTGATGTAAATATCCTGGGGCTGGTATCTGAAGCAAAAACAAAATAAGTTCAAAAATATTGAACCAAATATAAAACTTAAAAAATTTGCTACTTTAATTTTTCTTTCTTTCAAAATATCTATAAAGAAAAACTGGCATTAATGGCAGCCATCATCATTGGTCAATTGCTCTTTTTGACTGTATATCATTAACTTATTTTCATTTTAAATCTATATTTCAATCAGTAATGAAGACGGTTTAATGATATAATCATTATTTCCGAAATTAATGTGCATGTCAAATTATCAGAAGTTGGTGGCTCACCAAAACAATCTGATGTATACATTTTGAACAGAAATGATTTAAAATTCAACTGAATTTCAAACAATCTAAATCAAGTCATATTTTCCAAATTACTTTAAAAAAATCGACTAAATATGTAGATATCCAAATTGACAATCGGAAACTTTACTTTCGTACAGGTGTGACTATTAGAGAAAGCGTTTCCAAATTGTCAATGTCGAGAGACTGTTTCTTGTTATAATTAATTCAGAAATTAATGTGATGCATGTTTTAATTCAAATCCTAAATTGGAGTACAAGTATACTTTTTTCATTAGAGTATAAATTTGAAAAGAAATTTTGGACTAATTTGTAATAAATTTTCAAGCTGTTTCTCCAGGGAAAACTGATTTTATTACCTTACAACTATTAACAGTTTAAGTACAATTGTAACGACAAAATACCTACATCATCATCTTGTAAAATTTGTATGTTTAATGTTATTATGAAAATATTAATAACTTCAAATTACAAAAAAAGAAAATAAACAATATCAAAGCAATGCAAAAAAAAAGAAGAAAAAAGTTTTAAAATAAAAAATAACCTAAATTTCTATCTTTCTGAACCGGAGGTTGGGAAGAATAGTTATTCCCAATATTTTGATAAAAGAAATAACAAAAAAAAAACAGGAAATTTATTTAGGTTTTGAATATATTTAAACTTTTAAATGCATTTTATTAGAACATTTCCCTGACATAATGAAATAGTTTTTGATTGATAAAGCTGGACCAAAATATTGGCTGTGAAATAAAATTAGTTGTAACTCAAATGTATTTATTGATTTAAACTGTAAATAACAAAAGGATAATTCCTCACTAAAATATTTCATGATTTACATTCGAAACATATACAATTCATACCTTTTCTTTTTACTGTTGTTTCACCTAATGTCTATAATGCATTTTAAAAATATCTCCCAAATTATAAGACAGTCCTTATATCACTAAAACTAACCCATAAATGAAATGCTGAAAATGAAATTATGCATCAATTATAAACATTTAATTTACACTGACAAGAGAATGATTATCCTTACTTCATGATAAATACTCGATAACACTTGTACTTAATCATGAAGAAAGGGATCATCATTCTCTTATATGTAGAAATCTGTTCATTGAGGCATAACTGAGTGGAATTTACCTGATCATCACAGCTTTCAATTAACATGAACAATAAATTGTATATTCAGTCAGTTTAGCAGTAAACTAGACATGTGCATATTACATTAAGTACAACAATTGGTGCATCAAATGTTGCAGGTTACTGCCACAATAAGTAGAAAATGCACATTTGCCATGTTTTGCTTTTAATCCATCTAATAATAATAATAATAATCCTGTATCTTGGCATTGCACAAGGTCATGTTTTCCTCTGACTGTTTATGGCGTCTTTACACTAAATTCATTGGATGTTGGATGTGAACTGATTGATAATTTAGTCTTAGATGCATTGTTTTTTTTATTAGTTGTTATTGGCTTTGAACTAGCTGTCAGTAACTGCAAGTACTCTCAGATCTGTACTTAATGTCTTTTTGCTGTTGGGATGTATAAGTACCCGTCCACGTCAACTCTGTGTTTTTGTTAGATGTTTTTCTATTTGTATCCATCTGATGAGTTAAGCCTTTTTCAACTGATTTTTATTGTTTGTTCTTATGTTGTACTGTTACACCACTGTCCCAGGTTAGGAGAGGGTTGGCTCCTTCAAACTAGTTTACCCCCACCACATTCTGTATGTGCCTGTCTCAAGACTGGAGCCTGTAATTCAGTGGTTATCGTTTGTTGCTGTGTTACATATTTGTTTTTTTCGTTCATTATTTTGTATATATAAATAAGGCCATTAGTTTCTTGTTTGAATTGTTTTACATTTGTCAATTTCGGGGCCTTTTATAGCTGACTATGCAGTATGGGCTATGCTCATTGTTGAAGGCCTAACAGTGACCTATAGTTGTTAATTTCTGTGTCATTTGGACTCTTGTGGAGAGTTGTCTCATTGGCAATCATACCACATCTTCTTTTTTATACAAACAATTATATCCCTCTATAGAGGGATAATTATCCTTCTGTAGAAGGGTTATTCCTCTAAACAGGTATAAACACCATATAGAGGGTTTGTTCCCAACCCCAAAATGACAAATGCAATGCAAAACAATTCAAATGAGAAAACAGCCCGATTTAAGTACAAAACCATGAAAGAAAAAACAAAATGATATAGAGCAAAAACCAACTGCTACTGAATTATAGGCTCCTGACGTAGGACAGACACAAACAGAATATGTCAGGGTTAAGCTAGTTTGAAGGTGCCAACCCTCCCCCTAAACTGGGATAGTGTTGTACAGTACAACATAGGAACAAGCTATAAAATCAGTTGAAAAGGGCTCAATTCATCAGTTTACAAAAAAAAATATCTGTTTATGATAAAAATTCAAATTTAACCCATTTGATCATTTATAGAACTATTCTTATTTCTATTTATTTCTATGCCGTGTTATTTCTAATCGATTTACACAAAATAGCATTCATACCGGTCTACTAGTCCTATATTATAATATAAGACTTCGTAGGTTCATATCGTTCGCATTCAACGTTTTTTATCGGATATTTTTTTACTATCCATGCTGAACCACTAACATTGATAGTAAACAATTTATAACCGATAAAAAAACGCTGAATGCAAACGATATGAAGTTAGAACCTACGAAGTCTCATGTTATAGGTCTAATCGGTCTACTCGATCCGAAACGTTCAGTCAATCAATTGGTAAATACAAGTCACATATAAACCAGACTAAATATCATAGTATAACAAATCTAAATAAGATTACTGAGTTATGAAATATGACCGTAAAATCTTCTTTTCTGATTGTCATTTTATAATGGATTAACTCTCCTTTTCGATAGTTACTAAAATATGAGACATACTATATATATATGTTTCTACATGTCTCTGCTAATATAAACGTTGATTCTGTGTATAAGTAACACTTATGAATTATTACTAGACCATTTTATTAATAAAGAAAGAATAAAACTGACCTTCCAAATGAATTCCATCATGGTATGAGTTGAAAAATTAGAACAATAGAAAAAACCGCCAAAACATAGTAACCAATTAAAACAGAGATTGTAATGGCAGTGTGGTCTAAGGAACCGATGAACCGTTAAATCTACGATCAGAGGTGTTTTGTCGCAATGCAGACTTCGAATAGTAATTAATGTTGTTGTGTAGCTTCTGTACTTTTATTTCAACTATGTTAGGTATTGAACTCTCTGTCTGCATGTAATTAACATCGCCAGTAAACCGACATTTGGTTCTGCAATTATTTATTTCCCGCGAAAATGATAATGGATTTTTGGAAAGATTGGAACTTGTTCCAATTCTTTCTTCAGGCACCGGCCTCCAAACAGAAAGTGGACAGATTAGCTACTAAATCTATACACTCTGACATATAGTTCTCAATTGTGTTCATGTCTGTGTAGATTTGCACAAGTGAACTGGAAAGAAATTTTGTTGCATCTTAATTTAGAATATTTCTTCAAAAACAATAGTCATTACTTTTTTCAATTACTGGCTTAGTTTTATCTTTTTACTTTAGTGTATTGATACATTAACAGTATAATTGACAACTGTCATGAACAAGGTACAATTAAACACAAAGGGTGTGACAATAATTGGAATTCTATATAGACTCCTCCTCCTTAATGCCAATCATAATGGACAAAATGACGTAACTTGAGTTTATACATAACATGGCAGACCACTCAATACACAAACTTTGACCTCATTAGTATCTGATATAATTTGATCTATATAGGTCAGTCT